ACATCGAATGCATAGATGAAAGTTATGCTCGGATAACGAGCCACAAGCATAAGTTTTTAAACAAAGAGAAAGATAATATCGGCAGCCGCCCATAAGCGAAAAATAACAGCTGCCGAAATACGTACAAAGACAAAAGTAAATTGTTTGTACATCAAGGCAAGCTGAAGCAAAAAACAAGGCAAAAAGAGATTCAGAAAGCGGCAAGTTTGAAGTTAAGCACATGTCGATCCGCAAGACTATGAAGACGACTGCCCGATTTCCTATGCTTCAGCCGGAGGGTCAGGCAGGTCAGCAGTTCCTGGTCCCTGGGCAGTCTCAGTTCCAGCAGCAGAGGAGGCAGGTTGGGCTCTAGTCTAGGCATCAGCGGCTCTATGTTCAGCCTCCAGCTCCCTTCGTTCAGCTTCTTCCTCGGCTGCTTCAGCATGTAGGATCTCGTGCTCAGCAGGAGTGGGATACTTCATGTGTGGATCTTCGGGAACCTGAACCCAGAGCGCGCACTTAGCCCAATCAAGCGAGGGCTCAGCATGGAGATCCAGCCTCCGGGCCACCCTAAACCCATTCTTGTAGCCCATCTCATACTCTTCTTGGGTATAGAGGCAAATCCGAGCAGGGCTTCAGCATCAGCCAGCTTCTTCTGACTCTCCTCCAAATCTTGTTTAGATTTTTCTAATTCTTTAGAGAGTTTGGAGGAAGAAGTCTTTTGCTCGTCAATTTCCTGCTGGACCTTTGAAGTTTCGGCCTTGGCTTGGGTCAGATCATCCCCTTTAGCCTTCAGCTGATCCTCCAGACCTTTCAGCTTCTGGACCTGGTCTTCAGCAGCAGCTTGGGCAGTAGAGAGTTGAGTATCCCTGGCCTGATGAGCTTCTTCAGCAGCCATCCTGCTGGATTCAAGGGCTTCTAGCCTCTGCTCCACCTCCTGGACCTGCCCAGCAGCTTCAGTAGCCACTCGGCATGAGATGGCCGCCCTGAAACTGGGGATGTTGAAAGCCCCAAGCTCGTTGATGACTCTCTCCCCGGCCATTAGAGTGGGGAAGACTTCAGTCTCCATGGCATGGCAGAAAGTTTGAAGGGCCTGGGCAGCCTGCTTCTCATATTTTTCGGCTACCGTCTGCTTCTCCTCAGCAGCCTGCTACTTCAACAATGCCAAATTTGCCTCTTCCTAAGCGATTTTGGTTTCCTCCCAGGCACGCTCCAGCTTGTCCAGAAGGGTGTCTATCAGCTCTACAATGAGAGTCTGATTGTGCACAACCTGGTTACAGGAGCACATCAGTAAAAAAAAAAAGAGAAGAAAGAAAGAAGAGAAAAAGCACAAACAAAAACAGCAACTCTGAGCTGAAGAGCTGAATTAAGAGAGGAGAAAAATAAACGGTTAAGTACCTGCATCAGCAAGCATTGGCTGTCTCTGGCAGGGTCAGGGACCCTTCGGCTGGACTCACCCATTCGAGCAGTGGCCTTCAGCGACCACACCCTAGCTCGATCTACCTCGGACATACCAGTAAGGTCGCCGAAGTAGCCCGCAGCTCCTTCTCGATTCTGGCCCCAAATACGTTCCCAAACAGTTTTAGGGATTATGATGCGGGGGGCCGAGAAGCCCAAGTCTCCAGAGTTCAGCGTCTGGAAAGAGCGAAAGGAAGACGAGGGAACCTCCTGAGCCTTATCCGACTCAGCACTCTTTTCCCCTTCGGCGGAGCCCAGCTGGTCTCTACCAGGGTCAACAACAATGACCTCCTCTTCCTCCCCTAGCTCGGGTTCACGAATCAGGGCGTCAACCTCCCTATCAATATTGCTTGAGAAACCTTCAGCAATTGGTTTCTCAGCGGCTTCAATAGAGTAACCTATGGCACTCCCTTGATTCGGACCCTCTCCTTGAACCCCCCCCCCCCCATTCGGATCGGGAGTTCTTTATTCCACCTCTATCTCTTGAGTTTCGGGAGGTGGAGGAGGGGTTCGAGGAGGCGGGTTTTCTGGCAAAGGGGAGCCCTCGGCGAGCCTCTGCCTTCATCAAGCTCCCTGATATGTATGCCTCCAGTAGGCATCAGCTCCGTCTGAAACTGACGAGGTCCCAGCACTGCTATCCTCCTCCTCCTCTTGGCCAGGGGTTGTTCTTCCATTTCTTCAGATTCAGACGAAGGTGAATATTGAGGACGAGCAGGAGCTTTCCCTTCTCTCCTTACGCTTCCTTCCTCAGACTACAGAAATGAGGGGCAGTAAAGGCTTGAGTAAAAAAAAAAACAAAAAAAAAAACAACAACAAAAACAAAACAAAAAGCTAAGGAGCTTACCGAAACCCTCGGCTGAGCTTCGGCTGCAGAAGTACCCTACTCGGCAGCACAAGACGTTCCTACACCTCCTTTCAAGGAGTTAATCGCCCTGGACATCTCTTCGGCTATCTGAGCAGCCTGTGCTTCCTCGGGTAACAGGGGCCTCAGGGGATCTCGCTTCTCCTACCAAGGCTTCTGCTTAGTATAATCCGCAGCAGCCTCGATCTGAAGGCCCGTTGAATGCAAATGCAACGGACGGTCCTTCGGAGCTGTGATCGCTGGAGCTCGGTCTAAGATGATTCGTTCAGCGATCACCCCCAGCCGATTGTAGTCGATACCCGAGGTAGCCTCGCTCAGCTCTGAAAGGGAAAAACGAGGGTTAGACTGAGGGAATGGACACCAAAAATAAGAAAAAAATAAATAAAACAAGTCCTCGGCCCCAGCCGAAGATACTTACCGCCTCTATGCTTTCGGCTGAGGTCGACAACCGCCAACATCTTTTCTTGGAAGACGTAATGGTTATCTGGAAGCCATCTTGTTGGGATGAACTTCATTCGGCCAGTTCCCCCAGGATTTTCCTACTTCCCGAAGAAGCTCATCTTCTCATAGCTAGGGTGACGAGCAACATCCGGGTCTTCGGGGCCCAAATCTTGCATGTTCGGATCGGGACTAGAGAGATAACGGGGAGCCCCGAAAAAATGGGGGTGCTCCAGATCAACGGGAACCCTTACCCAGATCCACTGGCCTCTCCAATCCTTATCCGAGGAATCGTTCGGCCACATAGTCAAATATTGTGGATGGCTCTCGATTCGCCACCAGCCAGGCCCATGGTGACCGTATACGCTCTGGGTGTTCTACACCAGCTTGTGCATCCTTCGGAAACAGTGCAAGTTCGGTTCAACGGCGAAAAACCGACATACCCAGAGATAGGTCATCACCCGCCGAATACTGATAGGTGTCAACTGGCACAGGGAGATCCTGTACTTGATTAGAATGTCCCTGACGAAGGGATCTAGAGGGAACCGAAGCCCATACTACAGCTGCCGAGTATATACCCCTATGTACCCAGGAGGGGGACGATGAATTCTGTCAGTCGGCGAAGGCATTCAGCACCAGTACCCATCCTCCTTGAAAATGTCGTAGTGCAGTTCTATTTGTTCGGCAAACCGATAGGCTTCGGCATGCCTAACCCACTAGGAGTAAGGGGCATTTTTTACCATAGCTCGCTGGGCTTTGGCATTTTGCCACTCAGCATGCCCTGGGAGCAATTTCCATAGCACAGCAGGCAAATCCTCTACCTGCTCTACATCATCGGCCCCGGCGTCTTGCTGGGGTGACGCGGCGTTCAGAGGAACGGCCGGAATCCTCCTTTCTGGGTCTTCCTCGACTCGTTCCCATTCGGCACGGTCCCGGGGGTCCCTAGCCTGACCCCGCCGTCTAGTTTGACGCCCTCTTCCTCGAGCCATAGTGTAATTCGACCGTTAAACACACTTCCTTCTACTTAACTGCCCATTATCCGTTCAACTTCTCACTAATTATCCTAATTACAGTTATTTCGTTAATGAGTGTTTAAAATTTAAATATTTTGATTTAATTAAATCATTTACTTCCCTCCATTTTTATTGGATTCAAACCCGACCCGTCATCCTTCCAAATCGGGTCTGGGGGCAAGTTGTTTGGGTCCAATTATGCCAATTGGACCTAATCAATAAATGATTCAATATGCCAAGGTCAAGGCCCATTCCTCCATCCTGCCAAGTCAACATAAAGTCAAGTGGGCCGAATTATCATGGTAAGCCCATGATCAAGTCTAGCCCATCCATTTTCCCTGTATGCTAAGGTATAAAAGCCTTCAATTACATCATTTATCATTCATTCACATTTAAAGCCTCAAGCATTAATTCTCTTGCATAGCTTCCTCTCTCTAAACACTGTTTGACTTCAGCATCGGAGGGGTCTTCCTCGGATCCACCCCCGAGGCCAGTTTTACGTGTGTTTGCTGTGCAGGAAACCTTCGGCCCAGCATCATATGGACCGGACTAGTCTTCATCCACTTCATCGGACCTTCGGCAAGGTCCCATTGTTTTCACCCGAAACAGATAGTAAGAAAAAAAAATGGTCAAATTACGATATGTAAATAACGTAAAAATATAAACTGTGATGGAAGAGGGTTTTTTTTCTTTAAAACGGAAATTAATAAAGCTTGATTATGCTATTAAAATGGGAAGACGAAAGAAGTATTTCAATAGGTTTGAAACACACATAAGTACTTTTTTTTCCCCTTTTTTTTAACGCATTTATACTCACAATAAATATATATATATATATATATATATATATATATATATATATATATATATATATATATATATATATATATAAAAACGGAGGGATTACAATACAAGTATGATTATTTCATTTATACTAGTAATTAATCTTAATAAAGTTAAATCTATCTTGAAGAAGAAACAAATCCCACAATGGCCACAATAATAGACTTGACAGTTGACACTCTCAAAACTTCCCATCCTCGTCATCTAAATGCATGATTGTTTAAATTAATTTTGTTTTTATATTATTAGAATTAGAGCAATTATTGTTACACTTCCACTTTAATATAATGTATGTTTAACTTTATCCTCTTCATCATCAATATTAGTTGTACAAATTAACTCCAACTCATTTGCTAGAAAAAGATTTAAATTTCATCATCCAAAAAAAAAATACAAATTTATAAAAAATGGGTAGTTCAGATAATAGTGAGTTCTATTATGTTGCAGGAATTGGCTTGCTTCTAAACATCTTCTTATTTGCTACCACATTGTTGATCCATCTTTGCAAGCCTCCTATAGAAAACACGGATATTGAAGCATTAGATCATCTTCAATATCGATTCGAAAACGATCATAATTTGAACGTGGCCTTGTTACATGAACACGATACTGACAGCAACAAAAACCAACAAGAAACGAAGGGTGTGAGACTAATTGATCTCATACCGGCTATGAAGTTCATAGAAGTGGCTAAGGATCGCGTGTCGAATCGAGGAAGCGGGTGTTCGATTTGTTTAAAAGAAGGTTATGAAGATGATGAGATGTGTAAGGTTCTTCCTGGATGTTGTCATGTATTTCATTCTGATTGTATAGATGAATTGGTTCAAGAAAAGGCAGAGTTGCCCTGTTTGTAGGAATATTTTTCAAGTTGTTCTTCCAAATACAATACAAGCATAAATTTTGTGAATACAATTTATTTTTATTTTTTTTTGGCATAGGTTTTTTTTTTTTTCTCTATTTAATACGGAGAATATGATTTCAATATTGGGATAAACTTTAATTTTGGGATTAACTTTAGTCAAATAGTACGAATTAAAGAGATATTATTCCTTCCGTTTTTATAAGCTCTTCTTATTTATAGAGTAATAATCTCATCACAAAATTAAAAAGTCAAAATCCGAAACACATTTAAAAAAACAAAAGGTGTAAAAGATGAATTGATATGGATGGGGTTAAAAAAAAAAAAAAAAAAGAAAGTTTCGTATAAAAGAAATCCACAAATGGGTCATTTTCTATGTTTATCCCAATTTTGTATAAAAGAAAATGTGATCTTCATGTAAAATCTTAATCAACTTGAGATAAGCTATAATAGTCAAAAGGGGAAATGTGCTATTAATGAGTTCATATCTCAATTGTGTGCAAGAAGAGAAAGGAATAAGCCAGATAAGACTAGAAGTGTTCATATGGCAAAGGGCAATGTATCTATACTCATAAGTCTTAACCACTAACTGATCAAGTCCAGCTCCAGTGCCATCTTCAACCTCAAAAACCCGCCTTGGCTTCCATCACTCTTGGCCCTCACAGCTCCTGAAATTGGACAGTAGCACAAGACACCACCCCACTGCCACTGTTGTACCCACACCCGAGCTAACTTCTACCACCACTTTAGCACCGAAATTCATCTTGCCCCACCAAGCAGCAGGCACCCTCCAGATGGTCGAATAGCCAATTCTCATTCCGAACGCTCCACGACCACTCCACCAGCTGTGTTCTTGGCAGCTGCCTCTCCTCTCCTCATCCACATTCAAGGCATATTTTTCGGTTTTAACAGTATTAGGAAAAACAATAGAGCTATACTTTTGCTATCAGATGTGTACATACAATAGATAAGTACATTTCCCTTTTCCAAGTTTTGAACGGGTTTTTATTACTCGTATAATAAATCAATCTCCGCTAAAGTGGTAATACAATGACCGCTTGAGATGATTATGAGAATGTGATTCCTGAAGTATGGATGATATCAAGTTCATGAGTCAAAAAAATCAAGTTTATCCAAAATTATTATAAAGAAGTCGAAAATTTTGAAATTAACAAACTGGGATTAAATTTGGAGCATTATTTGCACATTGAGAAAAAATTGGGATTATATTCACCGCCAATCTTCCTAAGATTAGCTACATTCATATTCTAGAGAAGAGACACAAGCATGAAATACAGATCAGATTAAAATCAGATTTTATCACTAGAAATATTGACAATTCAGCAATTGAAATCAGCTTGTTTCAGATTTAGACTCTCAAAGACGCAGAATAACTTACTTTCCAGCTCCAAAGATCCCTAGGACTCTTAATCTCTTATACTGCAAGAAACTAGATGTCACTGAACACCAAACCAATAGCATAGAAAAGGAAATTCTACACAAAATAACATCTCTGATTCTCTAATTCCTCTGCTTAATCTTTTCAGTGTTAGAGAGCAGCTAACTGACTAAAATAGTTGATAACTAAGTTCTGGCCAAAAGAAGCATGTTAATTAATAAGCTGTACTCTAAAAGCCATATTCTGATCTAAAGCTATTCCCAACATCAACTACGCCTATATACAGTGACAAAAAGGTAAAACCAATCAGCATTAGTGAGAATATATACCGAGCTTCCCTGATCCCGCCTTCCAATTTCCAAATATAAGGGTTGCCAGAATTGCAGCTCTGCTCCCATAGAAATGTTCCGAGTGTCAACTTTTGCACATCCAGAGGGGAGTCAACTGGCTACATCTGGTCGGTTATCTCTTAGTGCATTTGTCCATAGGTACTAAATATTTCTCGCATCCCTTGACACCAATCTTGGTAAAAGCCTCCACGAGTGATTTGATGTAGCCTGGCAAACTCATCTTGATCGATTGAGAGCAAGTCTTTTTCTTCCCCTGGGTAGTTTGGGTTTTACCTTTGACAAAACTCCCAACTTCAACACCATCCAGGTACGCTCTACAAGCTGCCAGTATATCATGAGCACGCTGGTAGAAATGCCCATAAACTAAGTCCTCAAAATACTGCAGCCAAAACAAAGGGGCTGTATTAAATTTTTGAAAACTAAAGCCTTGTTACAAAATATACAAAGTCCACAATAACCATCATGGAGTTCAATCACAATCTCAGCTGAATTATAGAATCTACCATTATAATTAACATTGAAGGTGAAATTTATGGTAAAGTTCAATCTGTTCCAAGTAAATGAAACAACTATGTAAATCCACATACATATACCTTATTTTTCAATCTCATATCAGAAAATCCACCGGTTTAAAATAACAAACTTGCTCATATTATGGACAGTAATACACTATCAACTAATATCAAAGCCATTTCATAATTCAAAGTAAGCATTAATGAAACATTTCCACGAGATGCCATCTTGATAAGTGCCTTGCAATGTGCAATGCTACAAAAGATCAACTACATCGAGATTACTTATAAGCCTGAAATAATAGGAAGATAACAGCATAACACTAGTTCATACCCTAAACTTTACAAAAATTATAAAGAAAGGGATAACTAATCTAACGTAAATAAGAGGATTGGTTGCGGAGAAAAACAAAAAAAGATTCGTATTCGCGTTAATTTACCTACTAAAATATCACCTGTTTCTACCCATGACCCCAACCTCACCTACCAACATCACTAGAATTTCTTCCCTGAAAAAAGAACGTAAGCTATACTATAGCCACAACTTTACCTTTGGTGGGTTCCTTAATGTGTAAAGCATCGTCTTCAGCGATAGAAGGAATACATTTTCACTGTAATTCTTGGAACTTTTGATGCCATAAGAGGTACTTTTGGAATGTGCATAACCAGGCTCATTATAATACGGTTCTTCATTTAAGATAAGCCCTTGTATTGAGACAAGGACTTGTAGCATATTTGATTTGTTAGGTCGCCAATTCTCATCTCTTGAACCACTCCAAGTTCCCAGAAGACTTAAGCATACTTTGCCACAATTATATAGATTAGGGTTCATTCGAAGACCATGTGCATGATAATTTACATGCTGGACAATAAAATTCCACATTGTTAGATACATTCAGCAAAATAAGGAACTGACAATATATCCATAATCAGGTACATACTGGTGGCTTGTTTGGATAGGTGGCAGAGAAATTAACATCAAAGAAGAAGAGACCATCATGATAGGGTGTACCATCTGCTCCCACAATGACAGCCCTTAATAGATCCATCCTAGCCTCATAAACCCTAACAAATATTGTATCTGCAGAAGATAAGAAAATAGGCGATCAGCAAATAATGTAAATTCAAGACAAGACAAAGGTATTAAACTATTAATAAGTTGCCCCTGCATGGTATTAATAGAATTGGTCTGAACTTTTTTTCAGGATTTGGTGGCAATTTCAAACATGATCGAAATGCCTAATATATTGATAACTGACATAATTTAACACAAGTGCAAAGTCAAAATGAACCTGGCAAATCCTTTTCCAGCATCCTCCACTCATCCGCAATTTTATTTACCCAGCTTTTGGACTATTCAGAATTAGGAAAAAAAACAACAACAATATAAATCATTAGCTGCTCTATAAGGTTATTGCTAAGGACAGAAATATAAGCACAAGTATCCATAACCTCACCGGTTTCAAAGAAACATTTTTATTTTCATAAAAATGACCTACGTGATCCTCTAGCGTGTCAAATTTCTTAAACTGTTCCAGCTTCTTCAAAATAGAATTTTCACTAGAATTGCCTTGCCCATCAGAAGAGGGTGGTGATATGTCTGCGCATATTCCCTCGAGCCCTGAATTGTTGTTAGTAAATGCACTAGTAAAGCTACTACTAGTTAAAATAGGATCTTGAATTCCATGGATGGAATGTTGTGACGGTTGGGCATATGCACTTCCATAAGAGTAGGGCATATGCGGAAAATTCAAAGTAGCTGAATTCACAGGTAACAAATATGGAGGCACTGGTAGAACATTGCCACTAGTTTGGGCATGCTTCTGAGAAGTTGGAAGAGTGGAGAAAGAATGCTTTGATTTATGACGAGGATACACAGACAAATAGTCATTAATTTGGTGATATTTATTGGAGCTTGTTGAACTGAAGTGATCCACCTTGGAACCACTATATTTAAATTTAGAGTAAGGGTGTGAGCCATATAAAGAAGAATTGCTCGCAGGTTTTGCATGTTTCTCAATTGCGGCTGAAGCTGGCTTCAAATGGGCAAATGCCTCTGTTCTAGATGGAATGTCTACACTATCAACATGAGATTGCAGCATAGCATACTGATCATCATAGGATACATCTCCAAAATCAAATCCATCAAACTCATCCTCGAGGGTGATCACTTCATGTCCAGTAAGCATAGGTTTCTGTAGATTGTACAATGAAAAAAAATAAATAAATGAATAAATTCAAAATTCCACCTTGAACCAAAAATAAATATAGATTATAATAAAATAAAAGGAAAAAAAAATAACAAACCCTAATGAAGAAAAGATTGACTATGTGAATTACTAGCCTAGAAATAATTTTACCTTTCCTTTACCATTAGAGGCAGCTTTCTCACCAATGATTACAGCATCAGCAGGATCTTCATCATCAACAACAATGATCTCATGGCCAACAATCTTCATGCAAAGAATAAACAAATCAACTCATAGCACCAACACTTCCAAAAACTCATAAAAGCAAGAAAAATGTATAAATGTATTGACGTGGAAACTAAAAAAACCTACAGCACATATCCTAGATGTATACAGAAAACAGAGATGTGACTGATTCATATTCTAGAAAAATCACATTGCTTTTGCATAAGGCATAGAGAGCAATTCCTTTTTATACAAACAATAGGTACAAGGAAAATAAAAAAGAGAGCCCAAAATAATATGACAAATAAATAAATAAATAAATAAATAAATAGTAGCTTCAACATGCACCCAAGGAACGATAAAATGGCTTTAATTTTCCTGCCAAGAGTGCCAACTGCAAAATTAGCTCATTATAAGCAACCTTTGATTACAGATATTCTTAATAACTTAAAGCACTATCCATTTCAGGGGTGTTCAAGAGTCACTATTACTTTAGAGTAATATGACCTGAATAACAAAGACAACAGCTTGTTAGCAATAAAATGCAGCAGTACAAAAAACCAGCAGTCTTATCATGTTGAAGTGGAAGAGTGGGATCATTGAGCAGTTAAACGAGGAAGAGGGAGACCAAAGAAGACGTGGTTAGAAAAAGTTAGGAAGGATATAAAGCACATGGATTTGCATGAGATTGAGGTTTTGATCGTAAGGGATGGAGGAAAAATATTTTTGTGAGTGAAAATACGGAATAATCACTTTTGGTTCTTGTAGCCAACCTCACTTATGGGATTAAGGCTTTGATTGATTTAGTTTAGTATCACAGCTGAAAGACCATATTTTTCCTGGAACAAATAATGTTTCTAAACAAAAACAAGGAAAACTTTCAAACTACCATATGTGAATTTCAGAATTCCAAAAATCAATCTCCCAGTTACTTAAACTCTTAAAATTGACGAATGTATACAAACTGTCATAACAAGGTCGGTGACATCACAATATTTTTTGAAAGTTTTCTATGTTTTTTTCTAGTGTGTAGACATAACAAAATTGTATTTGGATTGCTTTGATAAACCAAAAAAAATAGACAAAAAAGTTGTGATATGGACTCATAATTGCCTCTTGTGAACTCTAAATGGCCATGAATGGTTCACTAGCACTAAGGAAATGAGAGAGAAAGAGGAAATTAATTTTTGCTGTGGTTATGAGACATTAACTTGCATTAAGAATAAATAGGGTTTAAATGTCTAATTCCCCAAACCAAAAGCTCAAAGAGATTCAATGCAGTAAGCTCCTAAAATTAATATAACCCAAATCACATCAGCACAAGACACAGGAATGATTGCCAAATTTTTTTTACTTCAAATCAACCAACCATGCACACATGTACTATCCAGTCCTCACCTCCATATATGATACATCAACCTATTGTTTGCACAAAACTACGGAGTGTAACGTTATCTTGTGCCTTGACATAATCAAAATGAAGCCAAGAGAGATACACTTAACTTTAATTTTCCAATGTCTCAACCTTAACCATTTCAAAACCTTTAATCAAGTGCATATATAAATCTATCAAGTACCCAAAAATTAGGAATTTCAATAACATAATCAACAACTCAAAATTCTAAAACTCCAACTTCTGAATTTTAAAGCTCAAGACTACTCATTTCTTCTTAAAATTATCAAAACAAAATTGCATAAATAAATAATTTTTCTATGCAAAATCCTTAAGGATTCAAATATAAGAGTTAATGCATTTCCTAATGTGATACTTGTATAAATTATAGTATTCATGACAAAATCATGTGTCAATTAATGTTACTTAAGTTAACTTAATACTTAAGCCATAAAATAAATCAAATTCTATGAACTAAATGTATGATTACTATAAAACCTACTCGAACCACAGTATCAATTTCTACACTAATACAATTAAACAAGCCCAATCAACTCAAACCCAGAAAAATCAGATGAATAAGTGATCAACCCACATAATTCAATTCAATTTAACAAAATTTTACAACAAAAAAGTTCAAGAATTTCACCAAATTTTGCTTTCTAGGCTTCGATTTCCAAGTAGAAGGACGCGGAATTTCAATCACATCAGGGTCTTTAAACGACAAACTACTGCTACTACTACTCCCAGCAAACATTCTCTTCCTTCAAAACCCCAGAAGAAAAAAAAAATCAAATTAATTAAAGAAAAATGACAATTCAAGAAAAAAGATACAAAATTTATGAAAAATAATCAAAACCCAGAAATTTTAAAATAAGAGATGATTACTTGGATTTTCGAGGAGGTTGAATTGGAATCGTAGGATCCTCCATAGCCGGCGAAATGCAGAGAAAAGAGAGAAAAATGAGAATAAAATTGTGTGATCAGAAGGAGGAAGTTTGTGTTGTTTGGTTTGGAAATCTTTAAATAGGTTTATACGTAGTAATTGGTACGGAGTTGTTTAGTCACTCTCATGGTCCACCTTTATTTGAAAACAGGTTAACCGGATTGATTAGATGATGTGTTTAGTCTGTTAATAAATACTCGAGTGTGGGGGCGCGGCAAAGATTACACTTATGCTAAGTATGTTTCATATTATTTGTAATTTTGGATATTATTTGTGAAATATATATATTTGAAATATTTCAAAATTACAAATCCTATAAAATGGAGGAAGTATTAGTTTTTACCATCTTATAAAATGGAGGAAGTATTATTTTTTGCCTTATTTATGATGAACTAATACTTATTTTAATTGAACTGTTAACTTAATTTAGTCTAGAAGTTGCAATGCTTGGGAAGTTGCAATTCCTAGGAAATATAAATCATGTTTGGTTGACATAAAGGAAATTGTATTTCCCATGAATTAAGTTATGGTGTTTTGTTTGGTTAAGGGCATATTCTCATTGACTGAACTCAACTGAACTAAACTAAACTGAATTGAAATGAATATTTTATAAGAGAAGGAAATTAAGAGTTGAACTGAACTGAGCTGAACTGAACTGAATTGAACTGAATTTCAACGTATGAGAACAGGCCCTAACTAAACATAATTCTCATGTATTACAGTAATTTTAACTATTATGTAATTTTTTTAAGGCAATAATGTAAAAAAAAATATAAAAAAAATAAAAAATTTATGTGGCAAGTTTGTGTGGCCAAGGTAAGGGGTAAATTAATTTTCATGTTTTGTAGGAATTCCAATTTCTCGAGGAATTTCAGTTTTCCACAATTTTACTTTTGTTAAGGATCTACAACTAGTTTATTATTTCTCTCCTACCAATCCCACTTATATTTATTTTATTATTTCTCTCTTCTATCAATCAATAACTATATACTAAAGACACACCAGCGGTGTGTTCTTAGGTTTTTATTTATTTTTATTTATTTATTTGAAAAATAAAGCAACAAATATACATATTCCTTATAAATGATAATGATTACTTATACTGCCTCTGTTAAATGTTATATGCAAATTTGGAGGAGGTAATGGTTACCAATGCAAAATTTGAAGGGCAAAGATTAGCTAGTGTAATGGAAAGTAATTAAAGAAAGGGAAGAGAGAAAATGGGACCACCTCACTTAAAAAAGGGTAGGAAACCTAATTTTATTAAGAGGAAGAGAGAAAATGGGACCATCCCACTTAGAAAAGGGAGAGAGAAAATGAGATCACTCCACTTAATTACTCAAATCTGATTTTTTAAATAAGAGTATATAAGTTTTTGTAAGCTTTTTGTTTACTAAAATATGAAAGACAATGGAAAGTTGCACATAACCTTGATCATTCGTTTTTGGCAAAAGTTGCACATAACATTTAACGGAGGTAGTACATAGAGTATAAGAGATGATTGGGAAATGATTTTGGCACACCCCTATGTGAGAGCACGTTTTTCTATGCTCTTCTCACATAAGGGTGTGCCAAAATCAATTAAGGGTGTGCCCAAATCAAATTCCGAAAAGATTTGATGATGTATCTTTCCCAAATATTCTTAACATAATTTGTAACATACAAATATTTTTTTATTTAAGAAAGACACAAGATTATATATATTTTTTCTTGATTTTTTTTGTTTTAATATGTAAACAATAAAATGCATTTTTTTTTGGAAGAAATGTTAGGGTTTTATAAATTCAAAGCAAATCGGCTTATACCAAAGCAATGGTGCGAATATCAAATCAACAAATGATACTTTTGTTATTTCCTTGAATAATTTATGATTGGAATTTTAATCAATCAACAATCTATAATCAACTATAGATACTTCAACAATACTACCAAGGATGATACATGTTGATTATTTTTAGTGTGATTTTTTACTGCCATTTTTTGTTGTTCTTTAGTGTTATGTTTGGATTAGGTCATCTTAGGTTGGGTCACATTCTAGTTTGGGTCACGATCCTAAGGTTAACTTGGGTCTCGGGTTGGTCTCAGGTCGGGTCATATTGGGTTCAGGTCACCAACTTCTCAGCTTCAAACAGGTAAGGACATGAACGGGTTCGAGTAAAATTTTTGGGTCGGGTTAGCTTTTGATAGCTCTAGATATGAATACAACATAAATTATTTGAAATATTTAATATAGTATTAATTTTAAAAAAGAAAAACACTTATTAAAAATTATCGTGCATGGCACGAGACCTAACCTAGGTAACAATTAAATGCATGTATCCTTAGTTCCTTACTAACTATATTTCTTTTGGTCTCTACCCTATAGTTTTCCTAAGACTCTGTGTCCTCCTAGTTTTTAGGATGCCACATAATGAAAGATATCATTTCAACAAATGAAAAAAGAAATCTACAATTTTCTTAAGAATAAAAAAATAAAAAAAATAAATCAATCGTCAATACTCAAAGAACATATTTAATCTATATACTTTTTTGAAACAATATAATCTATATACTTTAAAGAACATTATGTGTAATACGAGTATTAGGTAAGGAACATATACTTCAATCCTATAGAACATATTGATCCGACTCAAAGAACTTATTCCATTCCAATTAAAATACGAATATGGATCCAAAAAATGTTTCAAAAAAAAAACATTCATCATATATGAAGGACATTATCTTCAACTTCTGAAAACAACACACACAAAAAAAAAAAAAAAAAGTAAAAAAAATAATAATTGTAAAGACCTTTCAATTTACTCCTTGATTTAAGGACATATATTTGTTATTTACACTCCTTAATTTTATTATTTAGATTCCATATTACTTTGGCAAAAGAACATTTCACTTTTTTTTTTGTTAAGAGAGAGACAAATTGAGTTTATATAGAGAGTAAAACCATTCAAATCTATACCTTAATCTAAATCTATCTATCTATCTACCGATACTTTCTCTACTTAAAAACACAAACTACAATCACTCACATACCACATGTCACCACAAATCACTTAGTTTACATGGCACATGTCACATGTCACCTCCCTTAATATTTATTTTTTGTATTCCCTTTGTATAATTTTTTTAAAACAAAAAATTTAATGTTTAAGTATTTTAATTTTTTTTAATGTAAGAAAATGAAGTGTTCCATTTCCACTAGAATAAAATAAAGTTATTAAAAAAAAAACTATATAATGCCATTACATTGCTTTTTAAAAAAAAAATGCACATTACATAACTCATTTCATCTCCTAAATTTACAATATAACTTAAACAATACATAGTATTTCATTATTCCTTCATTTTTTTTTGTAGTTCCAGCCTCACTATTTTTTTCTTTTAAGTTTTATCAATTAACTTAATATTTTAATTTTATATTCTCTTTATTAGCATGATATCATTTAAAAAAAAACCGAGGGAGTACAAAACAACACCAATGCATATAACACAAAATAAGCAACACATTACAAGAAAAATAATCTAAGTAATAACCTGTGCATTAATGGGACAAAAGGCTAGTTTGAATTTCAAAGTGATTCATTATATTACAGAGTTGATTTATAGTTTCGAATAATATTTTAATCGAAAGATGTAATTGATGAATTTGTTGTTGTGATAAAAGCTGAATTTTTGTTTGTACACAATGTTCTTTCCTCGTTTTTTAAGTCCTTGTATTTTGACCAGGTGTATCATGCGCATAGTATATCCGGGTGTATGATACAATTTTCATCATAGTAAAGTCTCCAATTGTGCACTTAACCGTTACTCCTTATTTTTTAGTTCGGTGAAGAATTGAAGAAAATGAAACCTTAGGCCCCGTTCACTTCACCTTATTCTTGCTGAACTGAAATTATTTTAACTAAACGAAAACTATTTTTACTGATACTCTGTTATATTTCTTCTTTGAAAATACTGATTTTTAACTAAATTGAAATTCTTTTTACTAGAACTGAACTCATTTTTGTTAAACTGAAATTATTTTTACTTAACTAAAATTATTTTCATTGAATATTTTTTTTTAAAGTCAAGTGAATAGAGCTTTAGGGCCTTTCACATTTACTGAGCTGAACTGATTGGAGCTAAACTAAACTGAATTGAATTGAATTGAATTGATTGGAGCTGAACTGAACTGAATAGAGCTAAAATGAATATTTTATGAGAGAAGAAAATTAAGAACTAAACCAAACTGATTGGAGTTAAATTGCACCGAACCGAACTGAAATTAAGTTGAAGTAAAATAGACACTTTGATCTAAGTGTATCAAAATACGATTTTGCCCTTGCAGGATATGATTTGTTCCCTCCGGCCAAAGTTAACAAAAAAATCACCGTGATCAATTGAAAGCTCTTCCTCCTTCCTCTATCATCCAAAATTTTATGTAATAACAAAATCCAGTGCTCTAAAATTTCATCAAATCCGCCATTTTTACTCCCTTTCTCAAGCTCTGTGATTTCCAGAAATGGCGAATGATACTATGATCGTCACCAATACACCGGCCAAAGAACTCGTCAACACCAATTTCGTCTACTGCTCTCTCGCCGATCTTCGCCGCTTTTCCTCCCCTGGCTCGCGCCTCGTCTTCGCTTTAGTCGGCGATTCATGGGTTCTTTCTCTTGGATATCCTTTTTTTTTTTTCTTGCATTTTGATTTTTGAATGATTATTTTTGTTTATTGATGATAATTTTGCTGTGAAATTAGTTTATGTGATTGGATTATGCTAAGATTATTTTGAATTTATGTGCGAATTAATCGCATTGTGATGATTGAATCTGGGTGTGAATTAGTGCAAGTGAGATGTATGAAGTGTAGATCATGTTGTTCTTAGTTAGTTGCTTAAATGTTGTTTCAAAATGTTCTAGGCATTACAATATCAATAAAGGCCTTAATCCCAAAAGAGTTTTGGGTCGGCTAACATGAACCGAAACCATCCATGGAAAGTGGAGTAGAAATCGTTTAAGCATGTATACACAGTAGAGTGCCAAAGGGAAAGTGGGGCAAGTAAACAAAGTGAAAGTGCTTCAGGCATTAATGAAATTACATTTGCAATAGTTGATTGTGAGTAGTTCTGTCACGTATGTTACTTTGATTGGGTTTGGGTTGAGTAATTTTGAGTTTGTGACTTGTGTAGTTAAATTGCATAATTCAATGGTGAGTAGTTATGGCTAGACTTGTTCAATGAGCCGGGTTTTGCACCGGACAAGTTGTTAATGAAATGGAATAGGGCGGGGCGGGGCATCTGTCTGGACGATGTTAACGAGGTGGGTGGAGTGGGGCATTTTGTGCTTGTGAGTTATGTCTTTCAAGTTGCTTAGGACGGGGTGGGATTGGGGTTTGTGTTGTTGAATTGCATAGGTCAAATGTGAGTAGACTTGCCACCAATTGGGATCATTCGACTTTAAAGTCGCAAAACACAGTGAATCCACAATCATGTCCCTGGTTTTCTAATGTGGGTTATTTTGTGCTGGTTATGATGGTCCTTGTAGTTGAATTTTGTTGTCTCCTTAATTGTTGACACAGCGCATAATGACATACCCAATGGGAGCATAGGTCTTAATTCTGTCCAACGGAAGTATTTGAGGGTTTCTACTGGGGATCCAATATCTGTCAAAAGGTTTGGTAGTTTAATCTTATGATACTTGCCATACAATTGATAATTTTCAAAGTTCATGTTTGACACTTTAACTTTTCTCTTGTTTGAAGATTCGTTCCTCCTCAGGAATTTAAACTTGCAGTGGTTACCCTTGAATTGGACTATTTATCAAGAGCAAAAGCTAGAGATGAACAGGTTTGTTCGCCTTAACTTCCATTGAAACTGTATTCATTTTGGGTTTATATATCTGGGTTATGTTCCAATGTTACACGTTTTTACTTCTTGAAAAAGGGTGTTTCCTAATTGGCAACCCCATGCTTCCACTTTCTTTAATGTCGTTGCAGTAAGAATCTAATAACCCTTCTTGTTTTGTAGCCTCATGGGCATATTAATTCTGGTGCCATACAGTTTGTTTCCATGAAGCTTTTGCTGAAATCTCTTTGTTATCAGGTTGATGCTGTTGTTGTAGCTCAACTTATAAAGAGGAGACTTGTTGACCAGGCAAGGTTTTTTTTTTTATTATTTTTTTTCCCCTTTTTGTTCTGTTTGCTTTAGTTTATGTGTGAATATACAAGTGGTGCTGGATCTATGAATATAAAGAGGAGACTTGTTGACCAGACAAATTATTGCATGCTTCGAATCTGTGGTGCTGGATCTGCACACTGAAAAAATAGGAATTAGCCCTTTCTTTTCTTTATTACTCATGTTTTTTTTCTTTTTATAAATTTTTTATGGCTACTATGCAAATCTATTAAAGGACTAAACACAGAAGCCCACTTCTCTCAGTAACTGCGGTTTCATGGGCCTTTATAACTGAACATCAAGGATTTTTTAGTCAGTGTTATCAAACAAAGTGCCCACATTCCTACTTTCCAAGAAAGCATGCAGGCATTCCACTGATCCACCCTCTTCATCTAATTGACAAATTTTTGTCAAACAAAAATATTGTAAAAGCTTTGGTCTTGCTGCTAATTTAAGGTTCACTTTAGCTATATTACTTGGACCTTTTTGTCAAACAAATATATCATAAAAGCTTTGGTCTTGCTGCCAATCTAAGGTTCACTTGTTACAGACTAGTTTCACAAGCATGTCAATGTAACAGTAAACACGAACAAGGTAGGATAAAGGCTGAAAGCTTGAGTCTTTGATTGAAAATAAGCGGAAGTTACAAGGGTAAGTATAGCTTTAGGCTATAACTCTCAATGGTTGCTTGAGGATACTAATCTCTCATTCAAATGTCACTCAATTTCTGGATGAAAAATTACTACTACAACTACTCCCTAGTTTCTTTTATACTCAAGCATTACAAGCCATTTCATTAACCTGACATTAATGGATTTTGTCCTCACTCTAATAGAGTATCAGCATTGTTGCAAACAACATAGTGGATCATTCAACGTATTTGTCTTCTTGTGCTTTGGTGTGCTGCTCTCTTATTGGCTATTGCTTCTGTCCCCTTTCCACCTGGACATTCCCTTCTCTGTCTTTCTTTCTTCTTGCGTACACCTTGAATCATGGCTTGGTGGCACAGTCCATCACATCACTTTAGCTATATTACTTGGACCATTGTATGAGGCACACCTAAGAGTTGAGACTCAAGGTAAACTAGTTTTGTGTGTTTGAGATCAAACTCTTCGTCTGACGGACGGTTCTTGTCAAGGTAAACCTGTGTGTGTGTGTGTGTGTGTGTGTCAAGAGTCTTAGCTGGTAGTTAATGAATCAAACCATCCCACGTATGCCCCAAATTAATTTTGCATTCATATCAAGAGTTAAAGGGTACCATAGCATATGATGTTAGTCAATAACCTTCTAGTGGAACAAGTACTCTTAGTCGGGGACAAAAAAATAGTTATTATGTGACTCTAAATGAAATGACTTACACTTTAATTGGCTAAGTTTCTAACAATTGTGTTTTTGTGAAGTAATGCCTACAAATTGAGACTCAGGTATTATATTTTTATTGTTAATGGTCTGTTTTCAAGAAATGCTGTTTTTCCTTAATGGGTGTTGAAGAATGAATAAGTGAAGTGATGTATTTTGTTCTGTTGTACCTCTTAACAACTTGCTCAATGACTTAATTTCTGCAGGTTATGACGATAGGCCAAAAGGTAGTCTTTGAGTACCTAGGCAATAATTTTCTTTTCACAGTCAATCAGGCTGTTGTTGAAGGACAGGAAAAGTCAGATAGTGAAAGAGGGATGCTGTCAGATGACACATACACAATTTTTGAGGCAGCCGGTGGCAGTGGAATAAAGGTAAGGTCTCCATTCCAGAGCTTGAGTATGTATACTGGACATTTCTAGAATTCAATTTCTAATTATGTGATTGTTCTTCTTCTTCAATTTACTATATTTTGAAATTGTGGAAGATCTGGAAGTATATATGATTATTGAAATTGTTGTAGAACTGACTCTATTTTATTTTGCTCTTCAGATTATCAATCAACGTGAATCTGCTAGCAGCAACCTGTTTAAACAAAAAGAATTCAATTTGAAGGAACTTGGTATAGGTGGATTGAGTACAGAGTTTGCAGATATATTTAGAAGAGCTTTTGCCTCCAGGGTTTTCCCTTCCCATGTTACTAGCAAGTAATTTTTTCTAACCTTATTTACTATGATGTTGGAATGATGAATATATGTATCATTGATTTGTATTCCATATTGGCTACTGTAGATTGGGTATCAAGCATGTTAAAGGAATGCTTCTTTTTGGTCCTCCTGGTACTGGCAAGACTCTGATGGCTCGCCAGATTGGAAAAATGTTAAATGGAAAGGATCCAAAGGTATGTCTAATGTTAGGAGGGGTTTTGTAGCTTCAATGCACACGTGATGATTTTGATTCAGTTTATTCTTTGCCTTATACCTTTGAAACATATATATATATATATTTGGAGTTTGTATAGGTTGAGAGGAAATGAGATTTGCAAAATTGGCTAGTGGGCATATTACATGTTTTGCATTATCTGTTGATGTTGGACGGAGTATTGGAGTTATGTGATTGAAAGAACTTGAAGCGCATTTGCTGACTTGTCTTTTATGTGATGTTAAAGTAGCTCCATCGGACATAGGAAAGGAAATTATACTTCTCATGAACTTGCTATTCTGTTCTTTAGAAGTGCCTAACTGTTGGTTGACTTAGGAAGAAGAACTTTCATTTTGCTTGGGGATTAGAGCTTGTTGGCTGATAACATGCTGCCTGAAGATAACATGAGAGAGGGTAGATGGAACCATGGAAGAGCTGGAACCCTGACATGTAGTTTAGCCAAATGCTCGAACTTGCATTTTTTTTTTGGCTCATGAGCAACTTGGTACTCATAATTTGGGAAGTTTGAGAGAAGGCGTAACTAATTTTTTTTTTTTTTTTTTTTTTGTAACCTATATACTGAGTATATTTTTAAAATATACATGTTACCTTTGATCTTGACCATTCAGAATCTCATAATTTGAGGCTATTCTAACATACCCTTAAAATTTAAAAGTAAAAAAGGTACAAAAAAGCAAAACAAAAAGGAAAATAGTGGGCAGAGATGTATCCACAGTGAAATAAAGAGAGTAGCAGAATACCAATGAATTTTCATGGCTTGTTTGAGGTGTGCAATGAATGAAAACTGTGTGTTTTACATCATATTTAGGCCTAGGCTTAATTGAAATTGTGCTAATTCATGTTCCGGCAAGCTCTGTCACTACCCCAATTACAGGAAATAATAGAATTTACGTGACTTTTATTCTTGGACTAAAGCACCTAGGTCTTAGTTCCTTTTTTTTTTTTTTTTAATTGTTTTTCTAAATATTCAAATTTTGGGATTCTCACCCTGCAATTGGTGAATTGAGGAGTTTCACATCCAAACCCCAGACTCCCTTAAAAAAAAAAAAAAAAAAAAAATCCAAAATCCAAACCCCAGACTTGAGGTGTTAATATTCAGGCAGTCAACCGTCTTTTTGAAAATTGATCTGTTGCATATGAAGGCTGGGACGCTCTTTTCTTTTCTTGAAGGAAGGGTTAACTAATTTAAGTGACCCTTATTGGTATTAACTGTTATGACTTATGAGTTCCGAGAATCTGAATATGCAATCCTTTGTGATTGTTGAGACGTTGAATGAATGAGTAATATTGGTTTGAGTTTGAATTTTGGAATTACCAATCTGGAAACTAATTGTGACAAACTACTTTATATTTGTCTAACTTGAGATTGTGGAATCTCTGTTCTTTTGAAATGAAAAGTCAAAATGAAGTGATAGAGATTGCTACTTCAACTTGTGATTGTGATTTATTGAGTGTTTGTTTCATGGACATTGAGCCACAGTCAAATGCCTAAAAAACATATTGTCTTTGCTTTATCTCTCTATATCAAATAGATTATGTTTAGTTTATGTTCTTGCAACTATTTCTCGAGTTTTCTCTTTCATTTGAGATACCATATAATTTTTCTGCTGCAGTACATTTTGACTATTGAGTTATGTTTTTTTGGTTATTTTTCAGATTGTCAATGGGCCGGAAGTATTGAGCAAGTTTGTTGGTGAGACTGAGAAGAACATCAGGGATCTATTTGCTGATGCTGAGCAAGACCAAAGAACTCGAGGTAATGTGGGATATATACTCTGCATGTGGCGCGTTTATACTTAGAGCTGCCTGTGCTGGTTTTATTGACTTTGATCACAAATGAAGTAATGGATGTAATTAGCTGAGCATTTTTCTTTTCTTTTCTTTATTTTTTTTATTATTTATTATTTTTTAAAAAAATTTTATTGCTAAGTTTTTAATTTGTGCTTTTTCAGGGGATCAAAGTGATTTGCATGTTATAATCTTTGACGAAATAGATGCTATCTGTAAGGTAAAACAGCGAGTGCAATGACAGCTTCATAGTTCTTTGTTTCTGTTATAGACAGGTCATCACCTCAGGAAGTCAGGAGTGTTTCAGATTTTGACTGCTTTGTTCCTGGCAAAACATATTTGTGCACTTGTTTGCACGCACACACACACACACGCACATGCACGCGCACGAGCACGAGCACACGCACATCCACGCGCGCACGCGAGCACACAGGTTAGCGTGGAGGGAGAAAATTTACGTCAATGACGTGTCATGATTATATATATACTTTTAAATTTATTTTCGTTTTAAATTTTATTTTTAGCCCACCGATGTTTTATGAAATGTTTTGTTTTCCTTTGCTAAAGTTTTCTCAAACCTTTATATTTTCAACTTAAATGTTTAAACCATTCTTTTAACACTTTCTTGAATTTTATTCTTGATTTTCCTTTAAAACTCCCTTTATTTTTCTTAAATGCTCTTTCGTTTACTCACTTTACTCACCTTTTTTCAAACTATTTTAAATGATGGTTTTGTTATGTTCGTTTCTTTATATTGTACGATTCCTTTTGACAATTCATGTTAGCCGACCCCAAATCATTTTGGGACTAAGGCTTTGTTGTTGTTGTTGAGAAACATCATACTCCCTCTGTTTTTGAAGTTTGACTCACTTTTTATTTAGGGTGTGTCAGAATGTTCAACTCACTTTTACTAACTACCGGTCTTACCCCACACTCTTTACACCTTTCCACTCACTTTCTCTTAATCCATTTTTTTCTTACGTGTAACACCCCAATAATTCTCTCTTGAAACCTGTAAATACCCTGAACAAAATCCAAGAGAACTACTGGCGTGCTACCGCCACGTGTTCAAACGTTAAGACTTTTTCAGAAAATAGCAGCGGAAAACTAAATCAAGTATATATAAGTTTCAAAACAATTGGTTAAAAACCAAATTAAATCTTACATCTTGGAACCCTTAAGGCCTTTATTCAAAACGCCACAAAAGTAATAAATAAATAAAACCATAGTTTAAATAAATTTAAACTTATGAAAAGAAATAAAATGCGAATAATAACCAACTCTCTACTCATAATCCCACAACCCACAACCCTGATGCGAATGCTGCGTATGTAAGAACTTGTGGTTAATCTGCTCCCCAATATTACAAGTGTAAAAATTGGATCGTCACAGGGTCATTGAAAGGCGAAGGCCATGACCAAAGAAAGACACACACAAAAGCACGCAGTCAGCAAAGGTGAGTACATACAAGCTGCGAAATAAATTAAGAAAATACCTAACATGCTACTAACAATCAAGCACAAGCATCATTAAATACAGACTCAATTCATGACTCAATTATCAAATTTATTAAGACCTCACTAATTGATATTAACTGACTCATTTATTTAGTTCATTGGATTTAGCAATAGACAAGGTTGTCCAACCCATGTCCCATTTGGAACCTCAATAAAAGAAAAACCCCATGCCTCCTTTCGGAAACATCAATAAACATCCAACGACCACGGGCGCGACTCCGTGACCGTAGTTAGTATGAGATCTCACCTAACTCCTAGTTTTAGAAAAATAATATTTGAAATAGGAGACTCGTAAATCAGACAGCCTCGATAAAAGTACACGGCTAATACCCCATGTACTCCAACCCCTGATTGTCATTACTCCAGAAGTGCATTAATCCAGAGTTTTATTGCTCATCCATCTTGCACTTTACGTGATTAATAGGTTTAGACTTGGTGATGACTCATATACATTACAATACAAACATCCCAACACAATTCAATCAAACATGGCAAATTCTCAATTTAAATCTTGATTTATTAGTGACAAACAACATTTATTAATTATTCCTTTACTACCTCGGTGTATAAACACCTTGAGTGCATAAGGCACCCCAAAACCTTAACCTCGTCTTACAAGACGTGAATTCCTCCTTTACTCATCCTGTTTGCATAATCATGAATGAGTAATAATTTAATCTTTACACAAATCACATACCCTTTTGCATAATCATGAATGAGTAATAATTTAATCTTTACACAAATCACATACTTTTGCCTTTAAGCGCACCTTGCATAATTAGAGCACAAATAATACTTGCATTATAAACTAGTGCACATCATTTGAAATTCACAATGTATAACCAGACAATTTAACCCAATCAATCCTATACATGATACTAAGTTCTCGATCCGTCCTTAAACATGCACCTACAAGCAAGGTTTCGTAACTTGTACGTACCTTGTGTAAACAATTCGGTTGACCACTTTAAAACTAGAAATCACCTTCAATAAACTCCTCTCCTAAACCAAACAATAACATCTCAATCAAGACCCAATCAATCAAATTTACAGCAATACTAACTTACTTAAAAACCTTCAAAATCCAAATCAAACAACACTTTAAAACCTTCCCTTTAGTTAAAATTAAAGGCTTATATATAGTTTTTTGAATTTTCTTCATAAAAACCTTAAAATACACTCTTATACATGAAATTACAGCAAGTTTAAAGTTTAATAAAAATCTGAAAATTATTTAAAAACCCCTAATAATCTCCCTTTTTAATGGGTGATTAAACCCTCTTTATAAAACATCAAAAGTAGTACTTAAAAACTATTTCCAGCACTTAAAACTTCAATAAAAACATATATTTATGCTTAATTAACTTTAAACATAATTAATTTTATCAATCAAACTCAAGGATAATATTTTAAGTATAAAAAAACTTTGTTAAAATTAAAAACTGCCCGAAAATCATATTTAGAGGCTAAATTTGGCCACGATACGGTGGTGATCACTACCACTACCAAAGGTAGTGAGTCTTTTTTAAAACGTTGTTTCCACATGAAAAACACTACTTTTTCATCAAACTCGGATGAGTTCAGAACCTGATCGGGATTAAAACGGGATTAATATTAACGAACGGAAATCTAAAAATTAAAACCCGAATTTAAGTGTTCAAAATAATATGGAATTAAGTTAAAATAATCATTAGTTATAATCACCAAAATTTCAAAACATCATTACTATAAAATCCCTAAATCAATTGTTCATAAAACCCGTAAAATCATGATTTTCAATAATTAAAAACCCTAGGTTATAAAATTTACAAAATCTGAAAATTATGACACTTATAAAATATGAAATTATAAAGTTTAATCATCAAAATACAATTTGATACTAATTAAATTAATTTCAAACAATAAAATCAAAACCCATAAATCAATAATTATAATTACACAAATTAATAAAACAAGGAGAAAGAAAATAAGACTAACGTTTTTGTGTGGGAAATTTTTGGGGATTCATGGGGTATTTATAGGAAAGAATTGTAGGGTAAATAGGAAGATTGGGTCTCATAAAAATAATGGATCGATTAAGTAAACAAATGGGTTAGGCTTGTGTGATTGGACATAAATTGTAAAATAAAAGTGCATAAAATAATTTGTTCAAATAATTTTCGACCCAGATTAATAATTTGAAAATTTTGAAATTAAATTATGAAAAATAACAAATAAATATTATAAATAAAATAAATTTTCATTTATAAAATATTTAAAAATACGGGGGATTACATTACGCCACTCACCTTTCCACCCTTTTCTTATAATAACCACTCACTTGTTACAAATTGTCCTAGAAACAAGGGTCTACAGTAAGTGAGTCGAACTTTCAGAAACATAGGGAGTGTTTTTTTTTCTTCCTACCTTAAGATTCTATCTAACTTCTCCATCACATCATTATCCCCCCCCCCCTCCCCTTACATCTCCTCTTAGCACACTTTTTTGTAAGACTTCCAAAAAAATTTAAATTTCATTTGTGATATGCCTTTTCCTTAATTCCGGGTTTCCACGTAATACATCCCTTGTTTTCTTGCTCCCTACGTTTTCTCTTGTTTTATTTTATTTTAACTTCCTCACTTTTCTTTATTACTTCTTTTTAACTTATCTATGTAATTTCCTTGTTTCATTTTTCGCGATGGTTCCATATTACATTTCATGATAGCCAACCCCAAATCATTTTGGGACTAAGGCTTTGTTGTTGTTAAAACACCATATTGGCATAGGCCCTTTTGCAACTCTATGTTTACACTATGATCTTTTATTGTCCTTGTGGGACTTCTTACTTCGTATGTTTGTGTGTCTGTTTATTCAAGCATATAATATGCTCTTTTGATGGAATTTGTAGTCAAGAGGCTCAACTAGGGATGGTACAGGTGTTCATGATAGTATTGTCAACCAGCTCCTAACAAAGGTATCTTACAAATTGGCTGTTTCATTGTGTATAATAGATGTTCAGAAAATCTTTTACTAAAAGCTTTTTGTTCTTTAGATTGATGGTGTGGAGGCCCTCAATAATGTTTTGTTGATTGGTATGACTAACAGAAAAGATTTGCTTGATGAAGCACTTTTAAGGTGAGCTGTTAATATTCATTTATAAATAAGTGGTACCTCATTGGGAGTCTAATATAGGATTTGTTGAATACTCATGTTCATAGTTACTTCTGGCAGGCCTGGACGTTTAGAGGTTCAGGTGGAAATAAGCCTCCCTGATGAAGCTGGTCGTTTTCAAATTCTTGAAATTCATACAACCAAGATGAAAGAAAATTCCTTTCTTGCACCAGATGTTAATTTGGCTGAACTGGGTATGTGGTTTAGTTGTGAATGTTTTGAAGTCACATGTGCCCTTCTTGTTGACGTATGTTGAATTTTGGTGTTGGGCATTCCACTAGGAAATTACTGTCTTTGTCATATTATGAGGCATTGATGCATGTAACAATTATTATTTTGCATTTTAAATGAGCATTTGGAAAAAACAATAGAGATGAAATGCAAAATTTTGAATTTCACCTGACTGCTGTTCCCGTATGGCTTATGCCCAGAGTAATTGCAACGTTGACGAATGATTGTTTAACTAATTGTTTCAAGGCCTTACCCCCCCCCCCCTCATCTGCTTCAAATTACAGCATTAAACATCCAATGTTACAAAATGGAGTATAAGTATTATACAAGGAAGGGAGTATAAAGTTTTTATCTAAGCAGTGTGTATTCAACCTGTTGCATATATATGGAAGGTATTGCACTATCTCCAGTTTGTACTCTTAGTAGACCCATCTATACTTTCCATCCAAAACATTTATTTAAGGTTGATTATATTCATTAAAGATTAATAAACATTAATAACTTGATTTCAGTGTTGTTTAGATTAATAAAACAACATACCCCAATAACTCCCCCAGCACCATCTACCCCAAAAATCAACCCCCAAACACCCACAATAATTGGATATAAGGGATGGAGGAAAAAAAAAACCCATTCAAACATTCACGAAATCCCACCCACCTCTACTTACATCACCATGATTCCATGAATGGGTGATTTGATTAGGTGCCGAGGAGGGGGGCAATAGAACAGACATGTAGAGAGGGGGAGAATATGGTGGTGAAAGAGTGATGAATGGTGGAGCATAGTGGGAGAAGGAAAGGTGGTGAGAGTACCCAAACGACTTACATAATAGGGTTTTTCTTTCCTTTTCTGTTTCTATGCCATTCTTGATTTCATTCCCTTTTGATTTGGATTTCTTAGCCCCCCTTTAGTGTGAAGTATCACTGAAAATTGATGCCCCACTTAAGGGGTTTTTTTTTTCTTGCAAATTATTTATAAATATTGAAATGGTATTATGATTTTATATTGCTTTTGTACCTAGTATATTTCAAACCTTTGATGTGTTGTGGCACCAAAAAAAAAAAAAAAAAAACACACACACACACACACTATAAGAAATTAAATCTTGTTAACTTGGTTTTTTTTTTCATGATGTAATGAGTCCAGTGCTGTGGTGTATGAGATATACTGGAAAAGACCTTGATGAAAGTTTTCTAAAATAATTTAAGGGCGTTAACACTTGTCCACATTAATGCAGCTGCTAGAACAAAGAATTACAGTGGAGCAGAGCTTGAAGGTGTTGTAAAGAGTGCTGTATCATATGCTTTGAACCGACAATTAAACATGGATGATCTTAATAAGCCAGTGGATGAGGAGAACATAAAAGTTACCATGAAGGACTTTTTAGAAGCAGTTGATGAAGTTAAACCAGCATTTGGAGCATCTACTAGTGATCTTGAACGTTGCAGGTAGGGCATTAAGGGTTTACTGTGCTATAACATGTAATATTGATATAAAAGTATTAATTAGCTTTGGCTTATACTGCGCTTCCATCTGGAGGTTTATGAGATGATCCTTTTGTTGTAATCGCATGCTTCCTATTCATCTACCTTGTCTGAGTTTTATATCACATCTTTGCTAAAACTTGTAGGTTAAATGGCATGGTGGATTGTGGTGTTCGTCATGAGCATATCCAGCAACGGACTATGCTACTTGCTGAACAAGTAAAAATTAGCAAAGGTAGCCCAATTTTGACATGTCTTTTGGAAGGTGAAAGTGGCAGGTAATAAATATATCTTCTTACATTTGTACCTTATTTTGCTTTTTTTGGATAACTAATTGTTCCTAATTTTCACCTCCGTAGTGGGAAGACTGCAATGGCTGCTACAGTTGGTATCTGTAGTGATTTTCCTTATGTGAAGATTGTAAGTTCCAACTTGACGATCTGATCATGCAATTTTCAAGATCCATAACTGGAACATATCATATTTATGTTTCTGTAATTAATGAATAGGTTTCAGCGGAATCCATGATTGGTCTCAGTGAGAGTACAAAATGTGCACATATTGTCAAGGTTTATTACTACTACTCTTCTTTTGTAGCTATAACTTTTTGTGAAAAGTAAGCTTAGTGTGTATTCTCTTAACCTGATTTGTACTCATCTCAATTTGATTTTATTTTTGAACTTTATTGATCAATTTTTTTTTTTCCTTTTCCCAAACGTAGTGAGTATAAGGTGAGGACTATAGCGTCTTGTTTATCATGTTTTAATAATATGTTTCTTTCATTACCACATATCATTCTATACTTGCTATACTGTTATTTATGGACAAGCATACAATTGCCACATTAGACATGTGGCATTATTGCATACGTGCTTCTTTCTCCCTTTATTTATCCATGTGGTTATATGTTTGAGGTGCACAATTACTGCAATCTGGGCTATCTTGAGTTTAACCCTTGTTTTGTTTTTAATTTTTAATTTTTATTTGTAGGTCTTTGAGGATGCTTACAGGTCACCCTTGAGCATAATAATACTTGATGATATTGAGAGGTGACACTGACAAAATGTTATTCTTTTGTATTTTTCTTTTATTTTCTCTCTATAGTGGATCTATATAGCTCAACTGTTTTCCTGCAGGCTTGTTGAGTATGTGGCAATCGGCCCACGGTTTTCAAATATTATCTCACAAACACTGATGGTCCTCTTGAAACGACTTCCTCCACTGGTTTGTGCTTGTATTCCCATGCCTTGAAAATAATTCTTCGTACAACTCTCTGATTACTTCTAATATATGCTTCCTCCGTTTTTTATTTAATTGCACCATTTTGAATGGGCACAAGATTTAAGGAAAAGTGTAAAAACTAGAGAATGTAATCTGTGCCCATGTGAAAAAACAAATAAGAGAGAGAAAAGGTGGGGTAATAATTGTTGTTATAACATGTGAACAAGGGTAATTGGGGTATTTTGTGTGTGAACACAAGAAAAAAGTGAATAAAACATATCAAATAAAGAAATAGTGCAATCAATATGCAACTTCTCAAAAAAGAAAATGGTGCAATTAAAAAGAAAAACTTAGGAAGTACAAGTTTCTCTGTACTGATTGAAAGGTTTGTATCTTGTCTTCCATTGGAAGGTCTGTAGCTTGTCTTCCACAAACAAAGGTTGTTATGATTATTGCCTATCTTGCAATTAATCTAAGGATAACCTTGTTGTTTTGTGTGTTGAATGAATAAAGATGTATAGGTAATGAGGATGAGGCTATGTACACCCAACTTTGGAGACTTTCATCTCCGACTAAGAAGTCTAGGTCCGTTAATATATATATATATATATATATATATATATATATAGGGGGAGGTTCTCGTGAGAATTTTTCTTATGTGAGAACACTCTTTATGTTCTAAATTTTTACTCGTATGTTCTAAATTTTAAATATGATGTTCTAAACTTTTCCTTGGGTGTTCTAAATTAAATCAAATGTTCTAATTTAGTACTCACATGTTCTAAACCATAAATTAGTTAAGTTTAATATCATAAATTTTAAATAACTTGTTCCAAAATTTTAACTTATATGTTCTAAATTTTAAAATGTGTGTTCTAAGATTTTTAATTATATGTTCCAGATTTTAAAGCGTATGTTCTATTTTTTAACTTGTGTGTTCTAAATTTTTTACTCACACTTTCTATATTCTATATCAGTTTGTTCTAAATTTTTATTCACACGTTCATAATTTTAAATCAGATGTTAAAATTTTTACTCATATGTTTAAAATTTTATAAAACAGATTTAATAAATTTTTAATCACTTGTTCTAATTCTTAAATCAAATGTTCTAAACATATTACTCACATAGATGTTCTAAATTATAATTTCAGACACATGTTTTAAATTTTTACTCGTATGTTCTAAACTTTTACTTATATATTCTAAATTTAAAATCAGTTCTCATATAAGTATGAATTCTCACATATGAACTTATTCTCATATATATATATATATGGGGGGGGGTGGGGTGAATTTTAAGTTTAATTGTACTTCATTATCACAACCTTGATGCACTCTGAAGTTCGTGTCAGGCCACCTTGCCTGGTGGACCGAGCAACTGTGCTTTAAGACAGTTTTCGCTTTCACTTGACCTAAGCTGAACTCTTCTCTTCAAAAAGCCCTTCATACACAAATAATGCATGAATTATTTGGAGTCACAAGCTCCCTAATCACAAAAATCTTCCGTGGTTGATTCAAATGGGTAGAATAACGGACTGTCAAAACCTACATATAGAGGAAGAAACCAAAAACCACAACTGGAGAAAATGTTGGATAAAATTGTTCTGAAGAGTGCAAATAAGCTCATAAAGTGCTTAAACTGATAGGGGAGAACATTATATAAAACGAGAATATCAGTCTCACAATGTATGCACTTGCTTGAGTCACCAAATCAGTAAGTAAGTCCTGCGAGATTTATACCTTATTGGTGGTCATGGCTTCGGGAGCTTTCTTAAGAAAGTGATGGCTTCTGCAGCATTTTCTTTTTCCTGTTCTCAGATGTTAGTCTCCAGCACAGAATGAGCCGCGCTATATAATGAACCTCTTAACATCTGGACAAACAAGCAAAATAAATAAAACATTTTAATGGTTGATCACTCAACTCAGCCTCTTTTAGTCCTTTGAGCTCTACTTGTCCTTGAGAGTTGCAAGGGTGGAGCATCTAAATGCCCATCCATGGCTAAACTCTAATAATGTTATCTTGTGAATCAGAATAGCTTCCACAGGGGTATGCATTTTTATTGTAGTGGTTGTAATTGAACACCCTTTAAGAGACACTGAATAGACAAACTGTATTAGATGACTTTAGTTTGGTTACATGATCCATTTGCTCTGCATCATAGACTGCATCTGGTAAAATGACACATTGATTCCGCTCAAAGTTGTTTTACTAGTGTGGTTTTTTATGAGCTAGATAGAACTGGGCCTTGATGATTGTGCTTCTTGATTTGTTGAGGAATTGAAGCTTGATATGAAAAATGACTTGTTCTTTCATCCAGTCAATATTCGTATACTAGATGCTCAAATGTACAGTAATGAATATGCTGTGTGAACATGGACTTGTTTTGGTAAACAAACTCATCAGCATTTCATTTTGAGGTTATCTTATAATGTGAACAATGATTATCAGTGCGGTAATTGCTATTTTACCCCTTTATTGCCCTTCTGAGGAGGGGTTTGGTAGCTGAAAGAGTTTCTTTGATTTCCTCCTATCTCTGGATAAGCTCTTGTCAATATTGTTTCTTCCAGCATTGTACTGTGATCCAATTCCATTGGTATTACATTTGATCTTATCCCATGAAATTTTCATTTTTTTCTCGATTTACTTGAACAGCATTTCAGCACCATCGGGTTCTTTCTTCTAATACTATCTTCCTTGTATTGTCAATCAATCAATCAATCAAACAAACAAAGCCTTAATCCCATAGGTGGGGTCGGCTACATGAACCTAATTTGATTATTCCGTGTAATCATAGACAAAGATCCTCCTCCTCCATCCCTTACGATCTAACGCCTCATCCTCATGCACATCCATATACTTCCTAACTCCTTCCAACCAAGTCATTTTTGGTCTCCCTCTCCCTCGTTTAACCTCTCGTTTATCCTTCCTAACCGTGTTATCTTCCTTGTATTGTGATTTCCCTCAAGTTGCTAGCCTGTTATCTTTGTAACTGATCCTTTTGTTCTAGTAATGATAAGCAGCATAATGGAGTTTCAAACCTTAGATCAAAATTCCATTTATTTTGTTTTGCGTTGCTGATTGATGTTGAATATTTTGTGGAACTTGTGCTGAAAGAGTTTAATAAATGATCAAATTTGGTGTTGTTGGGGTTTTTGCTGGAGAAATAAGAATAAGGAAGGTTGTTGGGGGGGGGGGGGTTGATCTCTTTGCTTCCACATTTTGTGAGAGGCAATTGCTAACATTCCTGTACCATGGGGGTAACTGTAAATTTTAATTTGACACTTTCACTTGGGATGGAAGCCCTTGTTACTCATGCCTTCTTTTATCTTAGATTTATTGGTCCTGTGTACTAAATACTTGTCAGTTTGGTAATGGTTTGGGTTAGTAGTTTGGTATGTGTGCGTTTCAAAGGATGTTTACAGTTTGGCATTACTCATGAAATTCATATTTAGTAGGCATTAATTAATGTTTTAAAATAAAACCACTTAGTGGAATGTGTAGACTCTTCTGAAACAATCATAGTTGCTCCATATCTAGTCTTAATATCTGTCTTTCTCCAGGGGAAGAAACTTCTTGTGATTGGGACTACCAGTGAAGTTGGTTTCTTGGATTCGATTGGCATTCGTGATGCATTCTCAGTCACGTACAATGTTCCAACATTGAAAACTGAAGATTCCCGAAAGGTAACCTAATCAGTCTCCATCTCCATGTTCAAATGATTACTATAAAGAGATCTAGATCTATATGCTCAAGTAGTAATGTGATTGTGTATATCTACAGTCTTCAGAGTTCAGCATGCTATTATTGAAGTAATCTTTTATTGCCTAGGTCTGCCCTAGGGTCTTAGGGCTTATAATAGTGTCACAACTAAATGGATTATTCTTTGATTATGTTTAGTTAGTCATCCACCTCCCCAGGCTGATGTGTGAGACTAACAATTGTGGTGCAAAATGTTGTTTGTAGATGTCTTTTGTGTTTTGGATGAATGAAATTTAGGTTATCTTTGTGGTAGATTTAGAATATATATCCCCATCTCTTCTCCTTTACCCACGCTGGTATAAATTTTATCTTCATCTCTGTCCCAACGTGCACAAAATTTAAACCATTTTTACCCCACCCTTCAACTGAGTATCCACACCCACTTAAGTACTTAACCCACTCCACCACCTGCATTGCCCAGATTCACCTTGAATACCAGATTAAATTTTAATTTCAAAATATATAATTAAATAAAAGTAAAAATACAATACTCTAGTATAGTTGAATATTTATGCTTTATATTTTTTACTTATTTAAATTTTTTGATAAATACTTTTCAACATATTAAATTGGAGATATATTTATAACTAGTGAAATTCGGAGTGGGCGGGTATGCCCTAAAAAATACACCCCCGCCCCACCACCCATGGGTATGGTTTTGATCCCCACCCCCACACCTCCCCAACCAAACTTTTGCAGTTTTACCTATTCCCACCTTATGAAATCAGGGCAGGTTATTAGGGCAGGTCACTTCTTAAACCTAAAAGGGCTAAAACTTGTGCCACTGACATCTGATCAATAAAAGGGTGGTTGGAGTTTTCTTTTTATGCTTTTTTTTCTTTCTTTATTTTTTTTCTTTTGCTCAGGTTTTAAGTTTTGTTCCTTTGTTTGTTATCCTCAGGTGTTGCAACAACTCAATGTATTCTCAGAAGATGACATAGATTCTGCTGCTGAGGCCCTTAACGATGTAAGTTGATCTTCTTTCAATTCCCTTCCCCGTATTGATTAAAGTTTAAACTTCACTATACATTGAAGGCTTATGATGTGTTTCAAGGAAAGCTTTAGGTGTAGGGCACAATTAAAAGGGAGAGTTAAGTTTTCCTAAACGTTATAGCTGTCCTTAATTAATCATATTGCTTTGCAGATGCCAATCAAGAAAGTGTATATGCTAATAGAAATGGCTGCTCAAGGAGAGTATGGCGGCAAAGCAGAAGCCATTTACTCTGGAACAGAAAAGATTGATATATCTCACTTCTATGACTGTCTTCAGGACCTTGTCCGGTATTGATTTGAGTATACCAATGTCGAGTTCTGTAACTGTTGCTTACTTTGTGGCTAGTTCTGTGATTTTTTCCTCGTTAGTCATTCAGCAAAAGTTCTGAACAGATGGTAATTATACATGGGATTATACAATCTTTTATCCTCTGTTTATGATTTCTTGGGTTCAAGCTTTTTTTGGAGCCCCAGCAATCTAATTATGGTGTTGTAGAGATTTAGCTGGAGTGTATCGTGCCTTGCAAATTTATTATTTAATCGATATAGTATCACATATATATCTATAGTTCGAGCAGATATTGAGTTTGTCAAATCAGTGTTAATGATTCAGTATTCAATCCATTGTTTCCAACTCATGGCTGTTCCTTTTTATTTCACCTGGTAGTTGATATGCATATGTTGAATCAGACCTTGGTTTTTTATATTCTACCCATTTCCGGGATTATTTATTTAATTTTTATGTTAGGTAATTGATATGCATATTATTTATTAATGGTATTGAACTATCTACGAAAATCGTGTTCATATTTTCACACCCACTTCGCTCAAAAGTAAAGCAGTACTGAATCCACACATCACCATTTACCTAGTAACCTACATGCCATATATAAAATTTTCTTGTATTACAAGATTCTAGCTACTATAATGAAGGTGTTCCCTGATCAAGTCTTCAAATATCAAGGTGTACATAAATCGAGGGAATTTAAATATATCCCATATGACTATGGGGTTGTTTGGCAATCAGCGGTTGGCTGTTGGTTTGTTTGACTAGCTGGAAGTATTAACTGTATGAATTGGCCTTTTAAGTTATTGTTTAAGCCGCCTATTTACAAAAGTGTTTGGTAAAATTATCAATGGTTGTTAGTTGTTTATTAGTGATAAAGTAGCCAACAAGCCAAAAGCCAAAAGCCAATAGAAAAAACTACTCTTATTAGCTTTTGGCGGAAAAGCTAGCTTAAAAGCCAATAAAAAAAGTCAACTACCAAACATATTTTTTTACTGTTTGACCAAACGAAAAAGCCCAAAGCTAGGCAAAAAGTCAATTGCCAAACACCCCTATATGTTTTACTGTATTTTGCACAACCATCGTTTTAAAATTAAATGTCATATCTTGATTTGTCCACTATTCATAAACACCACTTTGACTTTCATTTGTGCTTTATATATGTACACGAAGACCTATCTATTTCAATTCTATAAATTTTGTAGTTAGGTCTTTAAACTTGATATGCAAAAAAAAAAAAAAAAAAAAAAAAAAAAAAAAAAAAAAAAACATGATATGACATGTGCCATGTCAGTAAAATCCAAGTCTTAATACTTATGGATAGTTAGTCCCGCTCTTAGAGCACCCACAATGGTGGAGTGGCTCGCTACTTTCTCTTCCCTACTTTTCTCCCTCCACATCATATTCCACTCTCTTGAGTCACTCTCTTAAGTCACTCCTTTATTTTTCCTACAATGGTGAGTAACCCCACTACTCTTTCTCGTACTTTTATCAATACCTCACCATGATTTATTAGTACTGTTTTAATTCACAATATGGCAAAAAACAAAAAAAATGAAAAGATGAGCTGAGCTTCACGTGGGCCAAGGCGTCAGGTGACCCGCCAGAGAGGGCATCCCCAACCTATGGGTTACCAATGAGTCACCTCCTACAATGTTGAGGTAGCTCAAATGGAGGAAAGAGAGAGAGTTGGGGACTTGGGGGGGAGGGTGCTCCCCACCATTGTGGGTGCTCTTAATAAAAATTGTACTACTTTTTTGTCACTTTCTAGTTCTAGTTGAGTAATTTTTTTGGGTAATGTTATATATAGCTTTTAGGGCTATATATAAGCATTAAAAACACTCTTGGAAATTGTATAAAAATAGGAATTCATGATAAAAACACGCGTAAATCAGTGTAATTAGTGTGTTATTGTCATGATTTTTTAAATTTAAACAATTTTCAAGAATGTTTTCAATGCTTATATGTAGCCCTAAGGGCTATGTATAACATTTTTCAATTTTTTTATGTCACTTTCTACGGAGTAATTCTTAGTTTCTTACATATATTTACAACAATTACAAGTTATTGTATGGTTTGCTTTCTCATACTTAAACATACTTAAGACTTAAGAGAGTGTAAAAGTCAAATTTTTTTCGTTGTAAAAAAATGGAGTACTCATACTCCTATTAAATTTTTTTAGAGAAATATTGTAGTTTTGAACCAAACAAGTAAACAACCCCTTACAATAATAACACTCCAGCCATTTGGCGTAGAGGTAGAAATCTAGTGAAGTATTTGGGGCATACAAACCCTAAATTGAGATTTTTCATACTCCAAAACTTGTTAATTTCACTATCTTCTCCCAATTTTGAGCAAGAAATTATGGAGGGTACAAATTGGAATCTGCAAATTTACCAAATTTGGGCGGAATTCAACCTCCATTCTCGAATTCACAAACCCTAGCCATCCCAGACGACTTGATTTTCGAGCATATTCTACCCAGACTTCCGGTAAAATCCCTAATTCAATTCAATTCTGTTTGTAAGAGTTGGTATAATTTTATCTCTTCATCTCAATTCGCCAAATCTCATCTAAAATTCTCATCAGCATCACCACATTTTCTACTTCTTAAGGATTTGTTTGGAATTCAGGGTATTTTCCGTGAATTCAATTTGTTGTCCTACGATGAACACGATGAAAATATGAGATTAGCTCAATTAGATTATCAATTGCCCGAATTCAATCGTGAATATTATGTTGTAGGTTGTTGTAATGGCTTGATCTGTTTTTATTTTTATGAAGCTTTACGAACTGTTAAATTCATTTTGTGGAACCCTGCTACTCGTAAATGTCGTATAATTAGCACTGATTTTAGAGAAACCTTGTTGAATTGTGGTTTTGGTTATGCATCAACTCTCGAAGACTATAAGATTTTTGGTGCATTTTATTCATATGCTGATACATGTACCCGGGTTCGGGTTTTCTCGTTGACACTAGGAGAGTGGAAGCAGATTTGTCTATCGAAGGATGATGTCGAAATTTTTTACTCTGCGTGTGGTATGAAGGGTGTTTTTGTTGATACTTCTCTGTATTGGTATGTCAACAAATCGGGAGGTTTGTTACGCATTATTTGTTATAATTTAGTCAATGAACAGTTACGAGAATTCCCGGTGACAATTGAGTGTTTTTATGATTGTGTTGAGATTGAGGTTTTTAAAGGGTGTTTATTGTTGCGTTGCTATGAGAATGGGTATGATCCTTCGTTGTGTGAAGTTTGGATTCTAAAGAAACAGGATGATATTAATTCTTGGGAAAAATTGTTCTCATTTCCTTTTTATTATGCCTTCACATTTGGCTTTCTCCTCAACTGGCAGGAGTTTGATAGAGCATGAGAGGCAGCTCAAGTTTATTGACCCAGTTCTAGGAGATGTGAAACATGCCCAAGGTATTGATATTGGTGGGTTTGTGAAATTAATAGCATATCAGCATGTTGAGAGTCTTGTTTCGCCCTTTGGAGAGACAGCTCAAGTTGATTGACCCAGTTCTAGGACATGTGAAACATGCCCAAGGTATTGATTTTGGCGGGTTTGAGAAATTAGTAGCACATTAGGATGTTGAGAGTCTTATCTCGCCCTTTGGAACTATGTTAACCTGGCTGTAAACCTGTTATGGTTTGTGAACTACTGAGTGATGGTGACTGGTCCCATGAGATTTTGAACACTCATTTTATTGCGTGGGAGGTTGATGAAATTATGAAAATTCCCTTAGCCAGATTTGGTGGGGATGATGAGTGGGCATGGCACTTCACCAAAAATGGTGATTTTTCTGTTCGGAGTGCTTATTATGTTGAGTTGAAGGCTATGGCTGTGACGCGTGCTTCCCCCTCTGTGACTGTGAATGTTGTGTGTGGAAGAGGCTTTGGGGTGCAAATATTCCCCCGAAGATAAAATTGTCTGGCTGGCGTGTGCTCCATGACAGTGTGGCTGTTAGGGGTTCCCTCTCCTAATGTGGTATGGTTGTGCATACCACCTGTCAGTGCTGTGGCTCCGATGTTGAGACTTTGGCCCACTCAACTTTCCTCTGTCCTGAAGCCAAACTTTTATGTTATCTTTCTCCTCTTCGTTTGGATTTTCCCTCGCACTTTTCTTTCTCTGTTTTTTGGATGGATATGTTCTCTAACTGCTTATTTATAAAGAGAAGCTCTGGTGGGATTATTTTTGGGCTTTTCTTTGGGGAATTTGGCTGAAGCGTAATGCTTTTGTTTTCGAGAATAGAATCACCCCAATTGAAGAGGACCTTGTGAAAGCTTCGAGCCTGGTGGGTGAATATGCTAAAGCCAACGAGGCCTCTGCCCCAAGTGTGAGCTGCTCTGCTGGAGCTGTTTCTTCGTGGTCTCCTCCGAGCCTTGGGCTTGTCAAAGTTAATTCTGATGCTTCCTGCTTTGCTGATAATGTAGTGGGGTTTGGTGCTGTGGTGAGGGACTGTATGGGGAAAGTTTTGATGGCTACATGCTGCTTGAAGGTAGGCACTTATGAAATTGAAGTGGCGGAGGCTATGGCTGCTAGAAATGCTTTGTGTATGGCTTTGGATGCTAGCTTCAGTCACTCGGTTTTGGAACTTGATTGTGCGAATCTTTACCATAAACTGAGGAAGAACCTGAAGGTGAAATCTGCTGCGGGTGCTATCATCGAAGACATTCGAAAGCTTGCTTCTTATTGCTCGTCTTTCTCCCTTTGTCTTGTGGGTAGAAATGGGAATGAGGTCGCTCATACTCTTGCTAATTCTAGTAGAAATTTTACTGTTTTGCAAGTGTGGACTGATGTTGTTCCACCTTTTGTCGAGTGTGCTGTTACTCTTGATGTACCCTGATTTTCCTTCTTCTTAATGAAGCTTTTTGGTGTTTTGTGTCAAAAAAAAAAAAAAAAAAACCAAAGTAGTATGAAAATGGATTATCTCCTCAAGGTATTGATTTTGGTGGGTTTGCAAATTTAGTAGCACATCAGCATGTTGAGAGTCTGATTTTGCCTTTTGGAACTCTAAAACTAGGGAGTATATTTGCTTGTTTGGATCTTTGTAGCATGGAAATGGTTTATTGTCTCATCACATATACTACCACGGTAAATGATGTAGGTACTAGGTAGTGATGCGAATGACACATCTGAGAAGCAAAGTATGTGCGTCTTATGTCGGCATTGTAGCTGGACTATTATCAGTCTTTCTAGTTTCTGCTTGCGGTTTGTTTTTGATGTGTTGAATTTACTGTAAGTTTTAACCAGAGGTCAAATCCTAACTTTATTTATAACTATTGTCATGTTGGTTGTGGGTTGCAAGGATCATTTATGAAATATTATAATGTCAATCGTGGAATTTTATGTATGATTTTGTAATGTAAACACCTTCATATTCAATTCTTGAATATTGACACTATTATATTGGAAAATTATCAACAACTTTTATGATTTTTTCACAATAAATAAAGAAATTAAGGATCTTATTGTGTAGCATCATATAGTACATCTTATCTAACGGTATACCAAGATTTGTAATTCATTTGCTTTTAAAAGATAACTAATCTGATTTACATTAGAGCTGTCAAAAGCTGACCCGACCCGAAATACCGACCCTACCCGACCTATTCGAACCTGAAAAAAATGGTGATCCGAACTGAAACCAATCCTAGACCCGAGTTGACCCGAGTATTTGAGACCCGAACTCGAACATTAACTGACCTAGAGACGACTCGACCCGAATGTAACCTGTAAATTATTGACCTGAACTGAACCCGGCCTTAACCGAAATTGACCCAAACCTGTTTTAACCCGTTAAAACCCGAATTTAACACGACCTATTCCTAACTCGACCCAAAAATTCAACCCGATCTTTTCCTAACCCGACCCAAATTTAACCCGATTTTTTCCTAACCCGACCCGAATTTCACCCGACCTGCTACAAACCCGACTCGAATTTCAACCCGACCTGTTACAAACCCGGCCCGAATCAACCCGACTTGTTATTAACCCGGCCCAAATTCAACCCGACTTGTTATTGAATCAATATGTATAGGTCGTTATCTCATATTGGTATTGGAATGAAAATTGAATCCGATCCTAACTCTAATCCTTCAATATTTCACTTTGAATTTTAAGAGGTTAGTTTCACAATATGTTTTTAGGGACAAATTTCAAGGATGAAACAATTGAGAAATGTGACATATGGTTTTCTAGGAAATTAAAATTCAAGATGGGCATTGTGCCATATGAAATAACTAAAAAAAAGCTTGCTATTATTGACTTGGAAATGACTCGACTTGATTATAACCCGCAAATTATTGACTTGAACCGAACCCGACTCTAACCCGAGAAAGACCTGACCTGATTATAACCCGTATATAATTGACTGGAACCAAAGTCGACTCGAACCCGAGAACGACCCTAACTCATTTAAACCCTTAAAGACCCGAATATAACCCGACCTATTTTTCACCCGATCCGAGTGATACCCGACCTAAACCCGACCCAAACCCGATAAGATGTATGACCCGACTCAAGCATGACCCAACTCGAACCCGACCCGACTCACACTAACTCGATCCGTTTATCCAAATTGACAGCTCTAATTTACATTATCATAGAAGAGAGCCAGTGAATCTATTTTAATAATTGTTAGCCCGGCACAAGCTTGCCACAATCCCGGTATGGCAAAAGAAGTATGTTGGTAGGAGTAAACATAGGTTGTGCATAAATTGGCTATGAAATTATACCCAAATTGAGTAAAATTGTGTAAGCAAAACATTAAATAAGGGTTCGTTTGACATTGTTATATTTTTCTATTTTTTAGTTTTCTGTTTCTTAAAAATATATGATATATATCCCATAATGAATCAAAAATTATTTAAACTTATTAAAATCATGATAATTTTGAAAACTGACAACAGAAAAGTAAAAACACTATTTTCTTGTTTCCTGTTTTTAGTTTTGGTTTTCAAAAAAACAACAAACTAAAAACCAAAAATGATCCCAAACAAGCTCTTATTAATCAAAGGTATTAATTATAACTTGAAAATGTATGTTATACTACAATGTATAGAAATAACAATTCAATAGTTGATTGGCAATTATCAACTACAATCATCAATTATGTTCTTTACAAACGAAAAGAAAAACAGAGGAAAATAAGAAAACAACTAATGCCAGTGGCTTATTGCAAACCTGCAAATTTACAACTTTACGAAGCTAACTTACTTAGGAACCATCCTTGGCCAAGCTACTCCATTCAAGTCTTTTTAATAAAACGACATTAAGATCCCGAGGGACCTCTTTGAATTCAAAGAGAACTAACGCTTGATTCGCTATTACCCCATAGTTCACGAGCCAATCCACATCATGATTGGACTCTCTGTAACAAAGGAACTAACACTTGATTCACAATTACCCAATATTTTGCGGGCCAATCAATTATGTAATTGTAGGGTTTTCTTTCCGGTACAATAATATTGTCAACCTAAAATCAACGATCTATGATTCCTTTTGAAGTTTGGGAGGCTGTTGTCAATTTATTCACTTTTCCACTTGTAGAGAGAACTCATGTATTCCTCTTCCATTCTACACTTTCAGAGAGAGAGAGATAGTTCATGTCTTCCACAGTTCCACATTGTTTTTAGGTATGGAATATTTGAGGATTATTTAAAAAAACGCCATAACTTTAAAGACGGACTCTATTAACTTCTTAATTCATACCAATTAAGAGACTTATATAAGATATTTTATTTATTAGAGTATTTGGCTTTTCTTTTAATCCTTACGGAGTATTAATTAAAAATTGTGAGTTGACCAACTATCTTACCACTATGCCTTAGCTAGTTATGGTATGTTCTTTTCAGCTTAATTTCAGTTTAGTTAAGTTCTGTTCAAATAAGTTCAATTCCTAATTTCTTTATCTCAACAAGTCACTCCAACTCAGTTAAGCTAACTTCAGTTCAATTCATCTCGGCTCAATAAATCAAAAGTCAAAACGCTCTACAGCTCTTAAAATATGAATTTTTCTCGAAGTAAATAAAAACGACTGTATAGAATCTTCCCTCTTACCTTAACTTCAACTTCAACCAAAATTGGGCAAACTCCAATTCTAAAACCCTAATTTGAAGATGAATCACGAGCTTCTCCAAACCCTAATCATTCCAGATGACTTGATCTTCGACCACATTCTGCCCAGACTCCCGGTAAAATCCCTAATTCGATTCAAATCTGTTTGTAAGAATTGGTATAATCTTATTTCTACTTGTGAATTCGCTAAACACCACCTTCAATTTTCTTCAATTTCTCCTCATTTTTTGATATCTAAGTTTATTGCCAACAATACTGGTAATTGGCGTGATTTTTATTTGTTATCCTACGATGAACACAATAAAAATCTTGAAGATTTAGTTCAATTGGATGCTCAATTGAGCTATACTATGCGAAAACCAACAGAAATAGGTTGTTCTAATGGTTTGATATGTCTGTATTTTTCTGAGAATAGGTATAATGTCAATAGTTTTGCTTTGTGGAACCCTTGTATTCGTAAATATCGTAAAATTAGCACTCCTTCTGGTAAATGGTTGTGTAAATGTGGTTTTGGTTATGCATTAGCTCTTGACGATTACAGGATATTCGCGGCATTTTGCCCTTATGAGGAGGATGATAGTCTTGATAAATCGCGTACCCAGTTTTGGGTTTTCTCGTTGAGAGTAGGAAAGTGGAAACAGATAGAGTTTTCGAGTGGTGAGGATGATTTGATTAAGTCTGAGGGTATTGTGAAGGGAGTGTTTGCTGGTGATTCTCTGTATTGGTATGTTTTCAAATCGGGGGGTTCGTTTCAGCAACGTGTTGTTTGTTTTAATTTAGTAGACGAAAAGTGTAGAGAAATCTTAGTGACGGTTTCACCTAGTGAGTATATTGATTTTGATTGCTATGAGATGAAATGGTGTTTATCGTTGCTTTGTCGTGCACATGATCAGTCCTATGGTGTTTGGATTCTGAAGCAACAAGATGGTAATGATTCTTGGGAGAAATTATTCTCAATGCCTTTCACAGTTGGTAAAGACCTTCTTGCTTTTTCTCCGGCTGGTTTGTGTTTGGTTAAACATTTGCAGCAGCTCAAGTTGGTTGATCCGACTTTAGAAGAGCTCGAAGATTCCCAAGGTATTGATTTTGATGTGGGTGTGTGCTCAGTATATTGTCATGTTGAGAGTCTCATCTCACCCATTTCTCCCTTTAAAACTGTGCAACTATATTGGCATTCTTGGATCTAAGTAGGACAAAAGCGGCAGCTCAAGCTGATTGAGCATGCCACTGTAATGTATTTTGATGATGGTGTATACTTGGTGCATCAACATGTTAAGAGTCTAATCTCACTTATCTTTCCTTTTAGAATTGTACAAATTTATTGGCATACTTGGATCTAATTGGGACAGAAACGGCACCTCAAGTTGGTTGATCGAGTTATAGAAGACTTGAACATGCCCATCTCACCCTTTGTGCTTGGTTGGATTGCCTGAAAATAGATCAGCACTTCATCCTATCCTATCCACCACCCGTCTTCATTTTTCTATTCATTATACAACAACAGGGATGTGAACTAGTGTTCAACACAATATGGGAGTCTATTCATTATACGACAGGGATTTGAACTAGTGAACAACACAATATGGGAGAAACAAGTTTCTGAATTGTATGTAGGCAGTGTAGCATCTAACGTCTACTTGTTCCTCTTATGTTTGATGTGAAGTTCAGCCAACTAGAGGTAAAATCCTTGTATGGTTGCTGTAATTGTCTTTGGCTGCATCAGTCTTGCAATTGTATGCTAATTTCTGATGTAACTGGCCTGCTGCTCCTTAATTCTTGAATATTAACAGCTAGAACTTGTTTATATTGGAAAAATATCAACAGTTTGATTATAACATTTTGAATTGGTTAAAATTGGTTCTGCAACTTGGCAATAGCTGAAATAACTTGTAGACTCGTAGTAGTTAATGTTTATGCATTCATATCTTACCAATCGGTATACTGTATCTTGTAATTCCTTCAACAGGTGCATTAAGAGCAACTACATAAACCATTATATATATGTACAAAATGTTGAAGAAGCAATTTGTAGGCAGAAACCCAACTTTACTCTCCTTGGTTATATATAATTTGCCAAGGTAAAAATTACCGTTGCTAATGAATTTTCCACCCCTACCATTGATCCTCGATGCTAGGGGAAAGAGTACATGGTTATGTATAGAGTCCAGACTGCTATGACAATGATCAAAAGTTATAAATGAGTAAGATGTTTAATTTCCTTGGTGCTCAACGATCCATGGATTTCGCTTTCTAGGTCTATGAGATCACTTGGGTGAATAGGGAGGACTCTAATAAGGGTCTTTAACTCATCGGGCTTCCTCCACAGTGCATATATTATTTCATGGAATCATTGTAATAATTAATAATTAGTGGCTTTAGTGCCGAAAGCCTAAGAGCATGGTGTTACACCAGCAACAATCTATGCGAAAAGAAAGGCATGAAATTGGATATTGGATCAGGACATTATAGAAGAGCATAATGTTATGCTTTATAATTAATATTTAATATTAAATTATTATAATAATACTTAATATTAAATAATAATAATAATAATAATAATAATAATAATAATAATATGAAAAATTAATATTCAATAATAACAATAATAAATTATTAATATTTAATAATAATAAATTAATATTTAATAATTATAATAATTTATATTTAATAATTTTTAATATTAATATTAATAATTAATATTTAATAATAATAATAATAACATTTCTTGTAAATTGATTGAATTTGTAGGTTTTTATTATAATAATAATAATAATAATAATAATAATAATAATAATAATAATAATAATATTTCTTGTAAACTGATTGAATTTGTAGGTTTTATAATAATAATAATAATAATAATAATAATAATAATAATAACAATAATAATAATAATATTGAAATCTGCTCTACTCGGCTCTGCTGAAATCTGCTCTGCTCTGTCCAGAAGCTCAAAAGAACAGGGCCTAGATTGCTCCATATTCTTAATTTCACATTTTAAGAGTTAGTTCATTTGCAAATGAAGTGTTTTCAAAAGAGAATAATATAAGTTGTTAAATGGAGAAAATATACCATAAAGAAAATGAGACAAACTCGATGAGACAATTAAGACCTTGTTTTTTGAGCTTCTGAATAGAGCATATCAGAGCAGCGCTAAAGAACGGGGCCTAAAATAGGAATACCGAATACATGACAAGTGGGATGGAGGAATACATCAGGCCAGTAGATGAGGGTATGCAAAGTATGCTACTGCTAAGGGCCCCAAAAAATTAGAGGGCCCAACAATGTTGTATTCAATTCCCGTTTTTTATGGCTTGGAAATCAGTTTTTTGTACTCTCTCTCTTCTATCATGTCACGCTTATTTTATGTTTTTTTAAAGAAAAAGTCACGCTTATTCAAATCATCAAATCTGAATTACAATTATTACTGTATTTAATTTCTATATTCCATCTTCTTCCTTTAGCTTCCATTAAATTTTATTTCTTTTCCAAAAAAACCAAATATGTCCCCTCTTTTCCATACAAGAATGTCCAATTAGATTTAGAAATTCCTAACACGTATATTTAAAAAAAAAATCATTATTCAATATTGAGAATTTGTGGTAAACTACAACTAGGGCTGTGCACCAGTCCAAAACTGGACCGGACCGGGACCGGAACAAGCTATTTTTAAGGACCGGAAACCGGACCGTAATCTGCCGGTCCGGTCCCGGTCTGGACCTGTTTAATACGGTCCATTCCGGTTTTGGACTGGCTGGGACCGACTTGACCTTTTTTTTTTCCCTGCATTTTAACAGCATGCAGAATTGCAGACTGCTAATCTTCCCTGCTATTTTTTTAACCTGTTTTTTTAACCTGTGTACTTTTTCCCCAAAAATATATAAATCACAAAATAAAAAAAAAATAAAATAAAAAAGCCAAACAACATACACACTCAATACATCCGATTTATCCGAATATAAACCAAAACAAGTCCCAAGTTAAATACATTACCAAATTAATACAAGTTTAATGAAAAAGAGCTAAGTTCTTCAATCTTTGATAATTTCTCCTCTCTATTTTTCTATCAATTCTCCATCACCGCTCTAGCAAAAACAAAACAAAAAAAAAAAAAAATCATCAACGTTAGAGATTAGAACTTTAAAGATACTTTAAATGAAAATAAAAGCTGGAAACATTACCTCCAAATCTTAAATCATGCAAAATAGTCCACAAAAATGACCTCATGATCACCATCATCAACTTCCACCTCTAATCAAATGAAAAAATAAATATTTAAAATTTCAAAAAAATTAAAAATGCAAGTAATAGTGTAAGAAATACCTTTCTCAATCTCCTCTAAATCTTTTACTTTTTCTTCAACATCAACTTCCATCATTCCCTTTGGTTTAAGCCAATCTTGAGAGCAAATCAAAGCTTGAACCATCTTTCATATAAAAAAAAATAAAAATTAAATAACAAATCCAACATAGAATATGAGATTATAAATATGTAAAAATAAAATAACTTAAAGCAAAAAAATTTACCTTAGGTGTCAAAGAACTCCGAAAAGGATCGAGATGGCGACCTCCCGTACTAAAGGCGGATTCCGATGCAACGGTAGACAATGGAATGACTAATATGTCACGTGCCAACGTGAAACAATAGGATAACGATGTCCATTTTGTGCCCACCAAGATAAAGCATCCATTTGTTCTTCCTCCGGCCCTAATTGTTCATTGATGTATCTATCAAACTCACTATTTGCATATGCATTATCCCTCTCATCTTTTTATTAACTCTACCCTTAACTTTTGCAAAATACGCCTTATTTACTCTTATCCGCCACATCAACATCTACATTAATAGGCACATGATCTTCACTGTGGCCACTTTGAGGAGTGAAGGAAGAATACAAATTTTTATACTCTTCAAATAAAGAGTAAGTAAATTGCTGTACTTTAACACCAAGTCTTGTCCCTTCTTCCTCTCCATACATATCCCTAAGTATTTCCTCAACAATACGAAATTTGGATTGATGATCAAGGATGGCAGCAACATATATAAACATATTCATATTGGCCACTTTTCCCCAATACTTATCAAATTTTTTCTTCATTGAAATGGCCATAGCTTGAAAATCCAAATCATCACTTTTTTCCCATTCATTTAGCAAATCATAAACATATGCAATGTCAAACAAACCTTTATTACTTGTCACATAAAGAGAACCAGAGATATTACGAGTCAAATGATAAAACTCCTCCAAAAACAAAACTAACCTTCCCACTTTGACCCAATCATCATGGTCAAGAGGTTTTTCATTATCCTTCACACCTTCTCTATCGGGAAGTGACACCCCACCAATAACTTTTTGAAATTTCAAAGTTGTTTCCAACATCATGTAAGTTGAATTCCATCGAGTAGGGACATCAAAGCATAAAAAAGATTTGCTTTGTATATTAGCCTTTTGAGCAAGATCTTTGAACCTAGCAATTCTAGCAGGAGAATTCTTGATATATTTTACAGCATGTCTAACCCTATCAATGCACACACCATGCTCCCTAATACCATCCCAAACAATAAGATTAATAATATGAGCTATGCATCGAACATTTTTTTCATCCAGTTCGTTGAACCATTTTTTTTTCAAATGTGCACAAGCAAGATCATTAGAGCTAGCATTATCAACTGTAACAATGTACAACTTATCCTCAATACCCCAATAGTCTAAACATGCCTCAACTGCTTTACCAATGGCCTCACCCTTATGACTAGAAATAGGACAAAAATTTATAATTTTTTTATTCAATTTCCAATCACTATCTATGTAATGAGCTGTGAGACACATAGTTAATTCTTTAAATTGAGGTCCAAGTATCAGTTGTGACACAAATTTTTTGACATCCCTCAAATGATTTTTAAGTATTTCTTTTTCACGATAATAAAGGCGTAAATAATCACGAGCAATAGTAGTACGACTAGGAATGGTAAACCCAGGACAAGTAACCTCCACAAAATACTTAAAAACAGGTTTTTCAACATGTTTGAATGGCAGTTCATCAGTAATGACCATACGAATCAATTCTTCTCTAACCTCTTTAAAATTTACAACCCCACAATTCAGTTTTCCAGCAATAGTAGTACGACTAGGAATGGTAAACCCAGGACAAGTAACCTCCATACAAAACTTATATTCAGCACGTAGTTTGCCATCATCATCTAAGTACTCAATGTAGTTCTTCCAATATTCAGCCTTCCTCTTGGTTTTTGTTCTAACCAAATACTTCCGTCCCTCCGTAAATGTCTTGTCCGGAGGCAAGGATTGCCGCAATAAATCAATATCAGTGTTGTTAGCAGCATCCGAAAGTGTATGTGTCGTTTGATCAGAAGAGTATATAGGTGCCCTTTTGGATTGGGAGCTCGCCATCTACAACATTATATTTAATTATAT